CTCGCCCGGCTGCACAACCGGAAGCTTGAAGCAGGTGTGGTTGGGCAAGTGGTGGATCATCTGAATGGGAGCTACTCTGCTGTATTCTCTTTACTTTGGGAAGGAGACGCACAGGTTGAGGTACCGAGATGTTTAAAACGTTTTTTTTACCGATTGTCCGTGAAGCCCCGCCCACCTTTAGTTAGTTCAGAGGAGGGTTTAAGTGAAAGGACAATTCTCCAGAGATTATTGTCTGAGATTAATCTGGTTCACGACTTGAAGATGAACCTTTAAAAGTGTGGTGCTTCAAGTAGTATTACTGATATGACTGAAAATGATTGGACTTGGTGAAAACTCTGGTTCTCTGTCCAATCAGGTGACTCTGGTTCACCCAGGTGAGGCCATCTCAGTGCTGAACAGGCTGAACAGAGAACAGCCCGACAGGATTTACTTCAAGAGCCTCTTCCGTTCAGGCTCACTCTCTGAAACCACCCTCTGTGACGTCTGCCTACGGCCAACCCAGCAGCCGCTGTGCAACTACACTGACCTCCGTACAGGAGAGCCGTGGTTCTGCTACAAGCCAAAGAACCTGAGCTGTGATGCCAGGATCAACCACTACATGGGAGGATCCAAAGAAAACTTCCTCAATGCTAATGATGAGAAGCTCTTTCAAAGGTGAGGGAGCAGAGAGACTGGAATTTTGTGTGACTTCTAAATACGTACATCCAGTGTTAGCTTTGTATCTCCTTGGTGGAATGTTTGAGAAGTTTGTAACTGCATGCAGTTAAGTTTGAATATAAAGATGTTTTTAAGGTAATGCAAATCAAACAATCTAGTCTGAAACATACTAGTTGACTTTCATTTGAAACATTAGATAGTATTTGCTGTGTTTGACTTTAAATTGAATTATTGTAAAGTCATTTTATTTTGGATGTAGTCTTTTCCAAACTTTAAGATGCACAATTTTTATTTTTTGCCACTTGGAGGCAGCACAACAAGCTATTAGCATATGATCACCTTGTAAAGTAGATATGGCTAAAATGTGAGCAAACACTGGCCTAGGTGTTGCTCTTAGAAACAGCCCACACAGAGTAGCCGCCATCGTTATGAGAACTGACAAATAAGTTTCCAGAGACCAGTTGACATGGAGACACATTAGCATTCATTTGGTCTTGTGTCATATATTTCTTCTCCTTTTAGCTGTATTTTGGTCTTCACCAACATCAGAGGGAAATATCTGCTTTAATCTAAATGTGGCACTTTGTTCAACCTGCTAGTCGCTGACATTGTCTGCCTGCTGTTTAGTGGTTGGTAGAGCACAATTGACCCTTCACTTAGCCCCGCCCCCCGCTGATACCATGGAGCCCACACCGTCACTAACTGCACTCACTGAATACATAATATCTAATTTTAAGACGACATGCGTTTGAAGGATATATTCAGGATGTCAAAGTGATTCAGCAGTGAAAACAGGTTAAAATCCTACAGATCACAGTGTAAAAGTGAAAAGTGACCGAGACAGACGACAAAGTATATTCACTGTTACAATCATTAAAAAAAACAAAAGCATCGTGTATATACCTTGAGTGTCTAGTGTAGCAAAGAAGTTGTAACGCTAGTTGATGTGCTAACGTACTCTGCTAATGTCAGCCCCACAGGTTTTCGCATGGAAATGTAACGTTTAAACGTAAATCTCCTTCCAACTTCTCCAGGCAACGAGTTTCACTATTTCACAACATTTAACCATGACTAGCTCCAGATCCCCAAAACTAGCCTGACAATGAAGTAAATCTGAAAGGATTGCATTAGAGTTTATACAGCTGGATAGTTGTCAGACCCTGGTTAGAGTTGGCCAAAGCTACACTTTAATTGACCAGTCTGCGTTGGATTGGCAGGACTAACCAACGGGTCAATTAGTTCATCAGCTTTGCATCAATAAAATATGTTGATGAGAACAATGAGACTCAACCAAAACAGTTTAGTTTGCTGGCCGTAAAACCAAGAATATGAACTGAAAGATGCTAAAATGTTCTGTAGATAGTAATCATTATCTCTGGGTTCATCACTGCGAGTGGCACCTTGCACATTACACAGTTATTGGACCCATAGCTTATATGAAAATTATATAAATTAGTGCTGCTTTAATTCACGACATTTATTTTTAGGGGTTAAGTATTTTGTGATGTTGAATGAACTTTCAAGCAGTTGTTTCTCTTTTTAAGGCTAGATTTTTCTAATTTTAATTTCATTCAATTATTAAATGTTTCGCCTGTCTCTTGTATTTATGTTGTTAATGTTGTAGTGTAATTAATTAATTAATTACTATGTGTGCTTTTCTTCAGGGGTGTTAACTTGAAAGTCTCCATTCGGGCTTCAGGACCTGCTACTGTCACCGTGTTGCCACAAGGTAGAGCACAACATTTTATTTGATATTTATTACTAAAACGAATTAGAGCGAGACGTTTTTTATATGGAACCATTTCTTCTTTATTTCAGTGACCGTGTGAACTTCAGGTGGCACGCCAATTACATCATTCTTTATTGTTCCCCATCCCCTGACTTTAGCAGGTCCTTTAATTCTGCTGCTGACTCTTGTGATGGCTAATTTCCACTATGATTTATCTATCTGTTTTTATTGTCTGACCACTCAGTACTTTGACCAGTCTGACCAGGCTAAAATACCCTAAACGTCATTCTTTTAGCCTGAAATTTGATGACTTTTCCTAAAGTGACCCAAAACATACAAAAATTAAAATATTTTAAAATGTTATACTTTTGTACATGGTGCTACAAGTTTTTGTACACTGAGGCTGTTTCGGGTCAAATTTGACCCGTATCTATTGAGATGGATTTTAGATCTACCAGTGTGGGTCAAATCAAGGAAAATTGTGGTTTTAGGGAATCTTGAAACTGTGAAACTGTACAGGCCATGTTTGTGTGTATTTGTTATGGGACAGAGTTCAAGGGAGACCTCGACACTGTCACAAGAACTGTCTGTGTTCCAACAACATTTGCCTCTGAGGCAAATTTGTAATTTGTGATTTTGGGCTATACAAAAATAAATTGAATTGAATTGAATTGAATTTGCCCAGGTTCCCACAGAGACAGACAGCTGCTGGTTCTTAAATTCACAACATTTGCTGTTTCAAGTTGTGAAAGCAGACACATAGCGCTAATTTACAAAACACATGTTAAGCATAAATCTTAAAAGATTTAAGACTTAAAATGTACTCATTGTGATATATATACTATGACTTACTGTGAGGGGAGCCTCGAAAACAGTGAAATAGTAAAACAGCACAGGAGTGATCATGGTACACAAAGGGGTCAGAGGGTGCCTTGTCACAGGCACAAGATCTGCAGGGGGCGGGGGGGGGGGGGGGGGCATAACATTATTATTATTGACTAGTTTATAATAAACATTTTATTATGTAATGTTTTGTGTTCTAAGAGGTAAATGTTGAATTAATATTGATAATTATGGTTTCTTATGATATAGCAGTGAGGGCAGCGTTTAATGGTTGCAATGATTAAATATGGTTACATTATAAATTCCAACAGTTCCAGAATGTTCATGCCATTTTCAAATTCAATAAAATATATTTAAGTCATTATGGCTTTTATGTTTTTATGTCTTATGTAAAACAGGGCATGATAATGTGTAATAGTAGATGTCTTTCTCCAAAAACAACAAATACACTCTCCCTGCTCTTTGAAACATTTGTTATGGATTAATCATACATTTATTACTGAGGCATTTAAACATTCCAAATAGATCTGTAGTTTAAAATTTGGTATAGACACTTACTATGAGGGAATTCTTGGTCTGGGTCAAAATTGACCCGAACCATACTGTGAAGGCATTAAATATAAACAGTATGTAATGGTTAACAAAGTTAATCAATGTCAGACATGGTAAGTGAGGGTCCACTCAAGTTGAGTAATATTGTGTGTGCGTGGGTGTGTGGGGTGTTTAATCAAGGACATGATATTGTCAACTTAGATAAGGGGCTGAATGGGGATGCAGTCAGTGGACCAATCACTATTCAATGGTTAATCAGTGATTGGTAACTGTTGTCCAGATGTCCTCGTGATGAACTCCTATATCCCACCATGTGCTCAAGGCGTTTAAGTCGTACACAACCAACACTCTGGGTTCTTCCTCCTTCAGACCGCATTGCATTCTGTATGACGATTGAACCTTCTCTGCGCAGAGAATGAATACTTTAAAGACAAACTTGTTTTCTCAATGTTTCTTAATTTCAGTATCATAGGACTCACTCGGTACTATTGAATAGTTTTTTTCCACCACACTGTTAAAAATTAGAGACTTTTCTTTATGGATCTCTGAAAGAAGGACTTCAATATAGGACATAATGAGGCAGGACGCTTAGCCTTATATGGTATTATTGGGGTTACTTGTGCTAATTTATAATGATTGTATTGTATTCAATGTATTGGTTATTTTATGTACTTTAGCAACACCTAGTGGCGATTGTGAATAGCTGCACTCAACAGGAAGTGAGCGAAGTGTAAATAATCAGAGTAACAGGAAGTGATGTTCAAGAAGTGCCGGACTCATTGACTGAGCATCTCAGTGTTCAATCCACATAATCCTGTGCCTTGAAAGCCACAAAATCGGCTTCATCTGTAAGTGTGTTACTATTTACAGTTATATTAACATGTTTATATTCATATTTCTTTGGTTTGTGTTAGTAGCATTTATACTAATGTACTAGCTAGTATTAAGTACTTACAAAGGCACTTACCTTTTGTATTGTTTGTGCTCTTTTTCAGTTTTACAAAATTATTACATATTTTCCACCATTAAACCTTGCAAATACAACAACCTGTCTGTTCCTTGGAGGATACGGTGCTGGGAAATATATTGTCAAGCTGGCTGTATAGCTGAAAACTACGTTTTACTAAAACAACTTTCAGTGAGGACAGCACAATGATAATGAACGTACGCTCATTTGTGCACAGGTGACATTCATCATGCCACGCTGGTCATTTACAGTCATCTGAAGTTAGGAGCGTTTGCTGAATCTGACGTGGCTCCCTCGTGCGATTCCACCAAACGAAACAAAAGTTCAGATAAGAATATGAAAATGTCATTGCATGAGATCCACTGAGAGTAATGGTCAGAAAAAAACGTGGAAAAAGTTTTTGAATTTTTTATGGCGTTCTCCTGAAGAGAGATTAACTATATTCAGCCCAAAAGAGTGATGGGAGCATGGAGCACGAGGGTAAAAGTTCATGGTAGTTGCTCTTCCTGTTAGCAGTGTTTATAGTCTCAGGAGTAAGACGTACTAAAGATGTTTATACATTCCTGTGGCGGCTGGTGGAAAATGTTCTATTTAGGGCTGTGCCACATCCAATCAATTTCAGCAAACATCCCAGTATGATTTAATGCAAAAAAAATGAAGGTATCAAACACGCATTACTACTTTGTAGTTAAATATTTAACCTTTATTCCAACATGAAAAAAGCAGTAAATAACACTTTGACAAACACGACAGGACATCTTATTTTTGTCACCCTCACAGGCAATTCAGCATAATATAATATATATATCCATCCATCCATTTTCCTCCGCTTATCCGAGGTCGGGTCGCGGTGGCAACAGGCCAAGCAGGCTGACCCAGACTTCCCTCTCACCGGCAACATGTTCCAGCTCATTCTGGGGGATCCCGAGGCGTTCCCAGGCCAGCTGGGAGATGTAATCCCTCCAGCGTGTCCTGGGTCTTCCCCGGGGTCTCTTCCCAGTTGGACGTGCCTGGAAAACCTCCAGTGGGAGGCGTCCAGGAGGCATCCTAATTAGATGCCCGAACCACCTCAGCTGACTCCTTTCGACGCGAAGGAGTAGCGGCTCGACTCCAAGCTCCCTCCTGATGACCGAGCTCCTTACCCTATCTCTAAGGCTGAGCCCGGCCACCCTACGGAGGAAGCTCATTTCGGCCGCTTGTAGCCGCGACCTTGTCCTTTCGGTCACGACCCACAGTTGGTGACCATAGGTGAGGGTAGGAACGTAGACCGAGTGGTAAATTGAGAGCTTTGCCTTCCGGCTCAGCTCCCTCTTCACCAAGACGGTCCGGTGCAGCGCCTGCTTTACTGCTGCAGCCGCACCGATCCGTCTGTCGATCTCCCGCTCCATCTTACTCTCACTCGTGAACAAGACCCCGAGATACTTGAACTCCTTCGCTTGAGGTAGGCACTCCGTCCCCACCTGGAGGGAGCAATCCACCCGTTTCTGGCAGAGCACCATGGCCTCAGATTTAGAGGTGCTAACTCTCATCCCCGCCGCTTCACACTCGGCTGCAAACCGCCCCAGTGAATGCTGGAGGTCACGATCCGAGGAGGCTAACAGGACCACATCATCTGCAAACAGCAGAGAGGCGATCCCGAGACCCCCGAACCTGACGTTCTCCACCCCCCGGCTGCGCCTAGATATCCTGTCCATGAAAGTCACGAACAGGACCACAAAGGGCAGCCCTGGCGGAGGCCAACACCCACCGGGAACGTGTCTGACTTATTGCCGAGAATGCGGACACAGCTCCTACTGCAGTCGTACAGAGACCGGATCGCTCGTTGTAATGGGTCCGGCACCCCATACTCCCGCAGCACCCCCCACAAGAACCCCCGAGGGACCCGGTCAAAAGCCTTCTCCAAGTCCACAAAACACATGTAGACTGGTTGGGCAAACTCCCAGAACCCCTCCAGTAGTCTTGCGAGGGTAAAGAGCTGGTCCACTGTTCCACGGCCGGGACGGAATCCGCATTGCTCCTCTTGAATCTGAGGTTCGACAAACGGTCGGAGCCTCCTTTCCAGCACCCTGGCATAAGCCTTCCCCGGGAGGCTGAGTAGTGTGATACCCCGGTAATTCGAGCACACTCTCCGGTCCCCCTTTTTGAAAATGGGAACCACCACCCCGGTCTGCCAGTCCATAGGCACTGATCCCGACCCCCATGCGACATTGAAGAGGCGTGTCAGCCAGGACAGCTCAACTATGTCCAGCGCTTTCAGCATCTCAGAGTGGATCTCATCCACCCCTGGCGCCTTGCCACCGAGGAGCTTTTTGACTACCTCAGCGGCCTCTGCCAGGGATATGGGTGAGCCTCCCCCTAGATCTTCAGGCGCTGCCTCCTCTGCAGAGGACATGTTGGTCGGGTTTAGGAGTTCCTCAAAGTGCTCTTTCCACCGCCCGACGATGTCCCCTGTCCGGGTCAGCAGTTGCCCCCCCCCCCCCCCTGCTGAGAACAGCCTGGGGTAAGACCTGCTTTCCCTTCCTGAGCCGTCGGATGGTTTGCCAGAACCTCCTTGAGGCCAACCGAAAGTCCTTCTCCATGGCCTCCCCGAACTCCTCCCATGCCCGAGTTTTAGCATTCGCGACCACCGCAGCTGCAGCCCTTCTGGCCTGCCGGTACCTGTCAGCTGCTTCGGGAGACCCCTGGGCCAACCAGGCCTTGAAGGTCTCCTTCTTCAGCTTGATGGCTTCCCTCACCTCCGGTGTCCACCACCGGGTTCTCGGGTTGCCGCCACGACAGGCACCGATGACCTTCCGGCCACAGCTCCTAGCGGCCGCGTCCACAATAGAGGCTTTGAACATGGTCCATTCGGATTCCATGTCCCCAACCTCCCTCGGGATGTGTGAGAAGTTCTTCCGGAGGTGGGAGTTAAAGACCTCCCGGACAGGGTCTTCCGCCAGACGTTCCCAGTTCACCCTCACTACACATTTGGGCTTGCCGGGTCTTTCCAACCGGTTCCCCTGCCATCTGATCCAACTCACCACCAGGTGGTGATCAGTTGACAGCTCTGCTCCTCTCTTCACCCGAGTGTCCAAGACATACGGCCGCAAATCAAATGATACGATTACAAAGTCGATCATTGATCTCCGGCCTAAGGTGTTCTGGTACCAGGTACACTTATGAGCCACCTTATGTTCGAACATGGTGTTCGTTATGGCCAAACCATGGCACGCACAGAAGTCCAATAACAAAACACCATTCGGGTTCAGATCGGGCAAGCCGTTCCTCCCAATCACCCCCCGCCAGGTTTCTCCGTCATTGCCCACGTGAGCGTTGAAGTCCCCCAGGAGAACTATGGAGTCGGTAGGAGGCGCCCTTTCCAGGACCCCTCCCACCGACTCCAAGAAGGCCGGATACTCTGAACTGCTGTTTGGTGCATAAGCACAAACCACAGTCAGAGCCTTGCTCCCCGCAACCCGTAGGCGCATGGAGGCGACCCTCTCGTTCTCCGGGGAGAACTCCAACACAGCGGCGCTCAGCCGGGGGCTCGTGAGTATCCCCACTCCCGCCCGGCGCCTCTCACCCTGGGCAACTCTGGAAAAGGACAAAGTCCAACCCCTCTCCAGGAGCTTGGTTCCAGAGCCAGCGCTGTGTGTGGAGGTGAGTCCAACTATATCTAGCTGGTACCGCTCCACCTCCTGCACCAGCTCTGGCTCTTTCCCCGCTAGCGAGGTGACGTTCCACGTCCCTAGAGCTAGTCTATGCTGCCGGCGATCGGCTCGCCCAGGCCTCCCGCCTGACCCGCTGCCCGGTCTGCATTGCACCCGACCCCGATGCTTATCCCTGCGGGTGGTGGGTCCACAGGGTGGCTGCTCCATGCTGTTTATTCGGGCTGAGCCCGACCGGGCCCCATGGGCGAAGGCCCGGCCACCAGACGCTCGCCTACGAGCTCCCCTCCTGGGTCTCGCTCCGGGAGGGTGCCCCGGTTTCCCTGGTCCAGGCGAGGTGACTGAAGTCCGTGGGCTGCTTTTCATTGGGGTCGTTTTGAACCGCTCTTAGTCTGGGCTCTCCCCTGAGACCTGTTTGTCTTGGGAGACCCTACCAGGGGCTAATGCCCTGGACAACATAGCTCCCAGGATCACTGAGCCACTCAAACTCCTCCACCACGTTAAGGTGGCGATTTGCGGAGGAGATAATATATATATATATATATATATATATATCATATAATAATATTCTGTATAATATAATAATAATATAATAATATATATATCATGTAATAATATTCACTATAATATAAAACACACACATATATATATAATTATTTATTCATAACTATATATCCATTTCTCAGACAGGTGCTTCATGTCCCTCACTCCCGTAACTGTCCGTGCTGGATCTGTCCCCGTTGTTTTAAAAAGCTAAATAAGTTATTAGCATGACATCATCCAGCTAGCCAAACCTGTCTGGTGTACAGCTGCTAGAGAAGCTTCACATGTACTGCTTCCCTTTCCCGCTAGTCTGCTGTCTGATTCTGAGGTCAGGCTGATCTGGGATCAGCTCTTTCACTGCAGTTTCTCCGCAAAGTTCTCCTCTCAAACGGGTCTTGGAGGAGCAGTGCTCGCGCCTGTAGAGACTAGTCCAGACGGGAACGTGCAGCTGAATCTATTTGAGGACGCTGATTGTCTAAATTGTATGTCACACATTTATATCTTTAATCAGCAATTGGCTAAACTGCTTCATAGACCCGCCTCTTTTGGGCAGTTTCGCCAGTGCCCCAGCTAGCTGAGACGTGCACACGCAGAGAGGACGTGCAGGAAAAGCATATATTTACCGCAGATATCATATTTTACACATATTACTGGGTGATTCAATATTTCAAAAACACAAATATTGACAATTTGTATAGTTTATTATTATTATTTATTTTAATTTTATTTGTTGTGGCTCAAGGTGGGGCGGCGCCCTAGCGCCCTCTATTGACCAGCCGCCACTGATACAATCCCTTTACAGCTTGGTTTTGTTTTTTCATGGGATAACCTCACCCTTATTCTTTAACTTCCTCTTAGGTCAGCTAAAGGTGAAGAGCAGCACTGTGACGTCTGGACCCTCTGGTTATTACTACCAGGGTGTGTGGCGAGCACTTGGTGGCACCACAGTCTGCGAATTCAGCGTGTCTGCCATCAGTCAGTGTCTGAAAGGCAAGGTGGTCCACATGTATGGAGACTCCACCGTCAGGCAGTGGTTTGAATTCCTCAACACAGCTCTACCAGGTAACTGATCCACAGGGATTTCTGGCAACAGATGATTTTGTTACCACTGCAGCTTAATGTGTTCCCCCTGTCATACTTTCAGGTCTTAAGGAGTTTGACCTGCACAGCCCGAAGCAAGCTGGACCTTACATGTCCTTGGACTATGCAAACAACATCTTGGTGACGTCCCGCTTCCACGGCCCTCCAATCCGGATTGTCGTTGTCTCGACCAGCGAGCTTCGTTACATTGCTAATGAGCTAGATGGCTTAATCGGAGGCCCCAACATTGTCGTAGTTTTTGGCATCTGGGCTCACTTCGGCACTTTCCCCATGGAGATCTACATCAGGAGGCTGCAGAGCATCCGCAGGGCGGTGGTGCGGCTGCTGGACAGGGCTCCAGACACGCTGGTCGTCATCCGGACAGGGAACCCCAAAGATTTAAACCTTTTTGTGTCGCTAACCAACAGCGACTGGCACTCGCTGCAGTGTAACAAGGTCCTCAGAGCCATGTTCAAAGGACTGAATGTTCATCTGATAGATGCCTGGGAAATGACCCTGGCCCACCACCTGCTGCATAACCTCCACCCACCACCTCCCATTATTAAGAATATGGTAAACCATCTATTGTCTTACATATGCCCTCAATAAGGCAGCTCAATGTGTTGTGTTTGTTGAGGGAGAGGAGTGGGGGTGCATTTTTTCGTTCAGCAGTCCATACTCAGGGTCAAATTGTTGATAACTTCTAAATAAATACAAAATAATGTGCACTGTGCACATCTTATATACACACCAACACAGGAAGATAAATAAAAATGAGTCAATATGTCGATTGCATTACTTTGTTTCAGTACAGTGGTGTCTACAAAGTTTCTTAAATTATTTGAACTGTGAGAACGGGTATCCTGGCTTTCAGTTTAAGTTTGAATTTAATGAGTTTGGATGCAAGGATGCACTGTCGACACTTTTCCCTGTCATGCCATGGATATACTGTCATCATCTGAAGTCTTCATGATGTGCATGAACCTTTGTAGAAGGCTTGATCTCCTCCATCTCCTCAGACTACAGGTGCAGGATCTCCTGGGGTCTGGCACTTATATGGAGAGGTCACCCACTGCAAGAAGTTAGCCGCATGGCTTTGAAAGTCCTCTTCAGATACATAAGATGGAGAAAATGGACCAAATATTTGTCAGAACAAGAACCTGCCATGACAATGTACAGTGGGTACGGAAAGTATTCAGACCCCTTTAAATTTTTCACTCTGTTTCATTGCAGCCATTTGCTAAAATCAAAAAAGTTCATTTTATTTCTCATTAATTAACTCAGCACCCCATCTTGACAGAAAAAAACAGAAATGTAGAAATTTTTGCAAATTTATTAAAAAAGAAAAACTGAAATATCACATGGTCATAAGAGTCCTGATCATCTCAAGAAATCTGCAATAAGATTACATTATAAATATTGTAAACATATTGTTGTTATTGGCATGTCAACAAGTGTATTAACACAACTCAGGAGGTTTTCCGGTTTGTAATATGTGTCATCTTTATGCCCTTATTGCAGATTAAAGAAACACAAGAAGAGGAAGTAGCGGTTAACTTTCTTGAGATGATCAAGACTCTAGTCATTCTGGAAATGCTCTAATTTGCTTCCTTTTTGAATGTTAGATGAAAAGAATTACACAACTTTCACAAACTGTTTAATATGAAGCTGAAGCCAAGAGATGGTTAGTTTACTTTATTTTAGTTTATTTTAGCATAAAGACTGGAAACCGGGAAACAGCTCGTCTGATTCTGTTGAAGGTGGGTGCAGTGCGACGAATCTCCAGCAGGTGGCGGTAACAACAATAAAAATGTCAGCTGCCGTAAAATAAAAATGGAGAAGAAGAGGGCTTTGACAACAAATCGACTTCCCCATGTAGCGTTAGCGTTAACTAACCCAACTGATTGTTTTGAATATTTTACGTTCAATCGAAATGTATATCTTATTGAGAGGAGACGTTTTGTAGCTTCAGCTGGATAACTAACGTTACCTCAGTCCCATCTTTGTCATTCAGTTTCTACCAATACTAGCCAACTGTTGCTGGGTAGCTAGCTAGCTGGATCACAGCAGCTAACCTCAGCTAGCGTTACTAACATTTTTAAAAACGGTGTGAGAAGATGGACTCAAGTGTCTTCACGGCTATTTCTAAAGGTTTGTTTACAGGAAAACCGAGAACGATTAAAAGCAAATCAGTGGGGAAGTTGCAGTTGGTGATAGTTGAGCTAATGTTGACTTGTATCAGTGCTTTAACTCTAGCCCGGTTAGCTTATTAACCATTAACTTACATTCGGATAGCAACGTTACCTTTACGTGTTTTATCATGCATCGCAGGTCATTTTTTGTCACATGAGTGAGTGCTGTACTGTTTCAACTTGGCAAATGGCTAACCGTGTTTAAGCAACATTGTGGTTATTGAACATGCACTAGTGAAGTTGCATTCAAAACACATCGCTGTTCCTATAGGGGTTAGCTAATACACAAAAGCACCTACATGGGCAACATAGCTATTCACTGTCCTCACATTCCTGGTGTTTTTATGTTGTGCAGACATCACTTTGTTGTATAATTAAAACCAATTATTTTGCCCTAATTGATCCCAGAATGACCTCAGGAATAACTACATAACAGCCCCAGTCTGACACCCCATCATTGTACAGTCTGATCATTAATTTGACAAATGTGATTTCGCCTTTTGTAGACAGATAACATATCCGATAGTTGAATTAGGATAAACAGTCAGCTGCATTCACTTTCCGTCTGGATGCTTTTCTATTTTTCAGGTGACCCCTTACCTCTGGCGTCGCTGCGCCTCCTGGTCCCACCTTTCCAGCTTATGGCAGCCTCCATGTGGCAGGTTCTGAGGAAACAAGATGTCTTGAACTACTGGAAAGTGGCAGAGTTTGTCTCTTTGGTGATGGACATGGTCCCAGAGCTGCTAATGTACAAGCATGGGACGCAACTTAATTTGGGATTGAGAGCCAGGGTGGGTACCAGTGGAGGACACGAGGCATTCATCGCTAATGTCCTTTTTATTTTTTGGATGGAAAGTTATTGACAGAAAAAGATGTGTTAACTGTATTGTGAACAATATCTCCTCATCAGTATATTCTTGAGTTGTGCCGAAGTGGACAGCCCGTGGAGTCGGACTTCATCATGTCCATCTTGAACCACATTAAACCGCGACACCCCATCCTGAATGATGTAAGTGTCAATCTAGATTTGTTTATTTCTAACCTTTCTTGTAATATTTCTGCTTCTTAGCTTCAATATGTGTTTATTGTAAACATATTGTTGTTATTGGCATAGCAACAAGTGTATTAACACAACTCAGGAGGTTTTCCGGTAGTGAACTTGTAATATGTGTCATCTTTATGCCCTCATTGCAGATTAAAGAAACACAAGAAGAGGAAGTAGCGGTTAATTTTCTTGAGCTGATCCAGACTCTGCTCAAAGATCCCGAAGAGAGACACGATTTTTTCTTGGTGAGGCGGTTTCACTTCCAGGGAAACAAAAAAAGCCAATGCTGATACCTGATTTTGGTTGTGTATGTGCGATGCAGTAAAATTGACTCTTTGTGTCTTTCAAAGGAGGTCTTCCCTGCTGAGTATGGGCCTCAGTATGACAGCGACTTGCAGATGCTGTTTTGGGAGTTCCTCTGTCGACTGGCTCAGCTGTTGCCAGTTCCTGACCTCCAGCAGGTGAGAGGTGTCATTTTGTCATCATTTTTAATGAAAAGTTAAAAGTATCTCCCCATCAAAGAATAACTTAAACTACCATACTAAGTCTATACGGTTTAACTTCTTGCAGAAAAGGTAGACAACAGCGGCAATTTCAAAAGTCCCTGATGGTGTGCAATGATGGTGGACATTGATATTTGCCAGAGAATATGTCAGTAACGTCCGGGATATGATATCAGTCAATCAACCTTTACATATTTAGCATATTTCATACAGTGGCTGTTGCACATTGTGCTGCATGTGACCAAAAGACAATTTCAACAAAATGGGTTCCCCCTATACCAGAATGATAATGTGTGGAGCCAGACCTTTCTTTAGCACTGACTGACGGAGATATGTCTGGCTATGCAAGTATAGACTAAACTTATAATATATAAATAGTAATATTATGGCCTTTAGTACAGTGGCATTATCTTACTGCTAATCAAATAAACAAATGAGTGTAAAGCCTCCAATGGTTTATAGAAATGTGTGACAAATGTAGCTCAGAATGTGTAATGGTCTTGTCTTCACAATATCATTACAAGTCTGTGTATGTGTAGTCAAAGGAATTTTAGATAAGAGTGTAGATAAGATTGCATACCATATATAGCAATATTAGCTATGTGCTCTGTTAGGAACTGTCTGGAACTGCGAGTGTAGATTAAATGAGGGGCAGTGCTACGCACAATGTCAGAGATCATTGTTGGTCAGTAATGTGTTTTACAGGTTTTTAACCAGCAAATCTCATGTCTTGAGATGAAATGTTTAGATTGGATTTGGTGTTTATGTGTGTTTTCATGCATTTCCCACAGACTGTTTCCTGGCTTGGAGCCGAACGCTCTGTGTTGGAGGATTGTGTGCATTCAGTCTCGGAGCCTACGGACCTGAACATTTTGCTCCAGCACCACAAACACCTCGGGCTTTTGGAGCAGCACGGTGAGTTACTTCCCATTTCCACTGCCATTGTGTTTCTCTGACGCAACTCTACGACAATAACCCTGTGTCACCCTTGTCCTGTTTTTTTTTTTTTGGTGCAGTTCCACCCTCTAGCATGGGCGACAGCATCCTGTCCTCCCTCTCCGCAGCTCCGTCCAGCAGAGCGGCCAGACCCACGGAACAACCCGACCAATCGGATACACAGCAAGGCCTCTGCGATGACGCACACACCGCATCATTCGTGGATGACATAGCGGTTGAAATCGTCGCAGTGACCGACTACGCAGAGGTGGAGTTAGACGCAAGCACCGGCATCGAGGTGGCAATGGGAGAAAACTGCTTTGAAGGAACGGACGTCTGCGCCGACGATTCGCTGGTAGTGCTTCCTGAAGAGGCGGCCATGGAGGAAGAAGTGGGTGAAGCAGGGGAAGAGGCAACCCAGGATAAAGCCGCGAGCGGTTCGGCCGACATCATCCATCCAGAGGTTAGTGCGGACGACTTGGCGTCCTCCCAAGAAAAAGTCTCCACGGGACCTCATGACTGCCCGGACTGCGAGAAGAAATTCAAGTTTGCCTCCTCGCTGATCGCCCACAGGGTCATCCACACCGGGGAGCGCCCCCACCGGTGCAACGACTGTGGTCGCTGCTTCTCGTTCAGGCAGTCCCTCGACAGACACAGGCACACGCACAGTACCGGACGCAAGTACAGCTGCGTCGTCTGCAGGGAGACCTTCCACTCCTTGTCTGCCCGCACAGAGCACAAGCTCACGCACATGGAAGATGGCGTTTACGCGTGTCATCGGTGCGACAAGAAATTTAACTGGGAGCTGGCGCTTGCAAGGCATCTAAAAACTCACGCTGATGATCACAACGCCAGCATGCCCACAGCGAGCCGTGAGGATGGGCAAGAGGCGGTTATAGGTGATGAAAATATCAGCGAAGCTCCCGTTGCACCTGCCGAACCCGACAGCCAGCTGCAGGCGGATGATGATGATGATGATGATGTTGATCAAGATCCGGAGAACGCAGAGGTTCAGAGCTGTGAGCGTCCCACCTCTGAGCCTGAATGCACCGTGCCCGAACTTGACACGGAGGTCGTTTCCCCGGTGAAGGTTCGAACGAGTGGGCGAAAACGCAAACCGACCATGAAGATCCAGGTGATAAATTTACAGAAGCGCATGGGCACTAAACGAAGGAAGGAGATTACCAAGGCCAACCCTCTAGAGCTGAAGCCTTTGCCCTTCCATTGGTAAAAACGTCTCGTCTCACAAATGGTTTTGTTTATTTCAGTTTCTTTCATCCTGGTTCTATTACAGGGTTACTACATAGAAATATAACGTGATATTTTATGTTGAGTCGAATATTGCGTGGCTGTGGTGGGACTTCAGGCAGATCAAGCCCCTCATGTTGATTTCTGCTTTCTCTTTAACAGTGCAGAGCATTCTTATGGCTCGCCCGTCGTCTCTGCAAAGGACGGTGAAGAGAGTGAGTTGTTTGATCTTTCTCACCACAGTTACAGAAACAGAGGGATAAGGGAACTTAGACATTACAATATATTATAAAAATAAAGGCAGGTAAAAAATCTGATCTAAATCACAGACCAGAAAGAATTGCCAAGTTGGGCATATACCTTCCTAAATGCCTCGACAGGCACCGTTATTATTTTATAATTACAACTTAAAACTGCAATTTAATTACAGTTATGGGCAAATTGTGTGGTCATTAATTTTCAACCTGTAATTCGGAGGGTTAAGGAGTATCCCTTATTTACTCTTACAACCATAAAATTCCAAAATGCAAGCACAAGTTTCTACCATTTCTTAGAATAATGTTAGTTTCTCGCTCCAGTCTCAGATGTGTTTTTTGTTTCTTCCTGAAGGTTTTGTTGCAGATGGCTCATCAGCTGCTTTCTCCTGTCCTAAGTGCTGCTGCCACCACTCGGAGGAATCCCAGGTCCAGCAGCACATTGACACGGTCCACTCCCTTGAGACCGAGGATGACGAGCCGTCCTCTCGACCCCTTGCAGATGAGGAGGGCCGCTTCAGCTGCCCAGACTGTGAGAAGAGCTTCAAGTTCCAGTCCTTACTGAAAGCCCACCAGCGCATCCACACAGGCGAGCAGCCCTTCCTGTGCTCTCAGTGCGGACGGCGGTTCTCCTTCAAACAGTCGCTGGAGAGGCACAGGCAGACGCACAAAACCGGGCGCAAGTATGAGTGCCTGATCTGCGGGGAGTTCTTCAAGTCCCTGGCAGCTCAGAGGGAGCACAAGAGCACACACATGGAGAACGGCGAGTACCTGTGTTCGGAGTGCGGCCGGGCGTTCGCCTGGAAGTCCGCACTGGTGAGACACCTGAAGACCCACGGCGAGGATGCGGAGAAGGTGGGGCGTCCTTACAAATGCCCCCGCTGTGACCTGGGCTTCAGCTGTGCCAGCTACCTCAACAGGCACCTCCAGACTCACCAGGAAGAGAGAGTGCACACCTGCAACTGCGGGAAGAGCTTCGCCTACCGGGCGGCCCTCACTGCGCACCAGCGCATCCACCAGAAGGAGCGGCCGCACACGTGCACACAGTGCGGCAAGGGATTCCTCTACAAGGGGGGTTTGCTGAGCCACATGAAGATCCACTCCGAGGAGATGCCCTTCATGTGTTCTTTCTGCGGCAAGAGCTTCAAGAGGGAGCGCAACATGAAGAAGCACGAGCGCTGCCACACCCGGGAGGACGTCTTCAGCTGCTCGCAGTGCGACAAGAGCTTCGTCTACAAGGCCACCCTGATCCGCCACGAGCTGACTCATTCGGGCGAGCGGCCGTACCTCTGCTCCGACTGCGGGAAGGGCTTCTTCTCCCATGCAGAGCTCCTGAAGCACGAGCGTTTCCACACGGGCCACAAGCCCTTCCAGTGCCCCGACTGTGGCAAGAAGTTCACTCAGTCCTGCTACCTGACCATCCACCTGCGCTACCACACGGGAGTCCGGCCGTACTCCTGCGGCGAGTGCGACAAGAGCTTCCTAAGTGCCAACCGTCTGAAGAGACACCAGCGAACGCATTCGGGGGAAAAACCGTACCTCTGCGTGGAATGCGGGAAGGGATTCAGGCAATCATATAATCTCAAAATGCATCAACGGACACACACTATGAAGAATAAATAGTCGAGACTTTAACTATTGATCTGGAGATTAATATTTTGAAAATTGAAATATTATAGTTTAGAGTGGGACAAAATCTCCTATGCAATTGGAGTGAACAGTTTCTAGTATAGAAACTTGCTCTAGGAAGAGGTTCATGTTGAATGTTTTCCATACACTGAATGAATTTGATTCCCAGGTTGTGTTGCGATTAAAGCAGTGTTTTTCAGATGCAATTCTTTTTTCGTCATCTAGTCTTCAAATAATGAACAAAAGGAAGGTACATAAATCCAGTATTTTATTGTGGACATGTTCTACAACAGACACTGCATTGGAAAAAGAGGCTTAAAACAAACAATACATATTCTTATGAGCAGTGGTTTTAAATTCAGACAACAAACACGTACTGCAGGCTCTGTGACATGGAGGCTTTCCTCAGATCAGCAGTAGTACAGACAACAGACAGCTCCACAGCCAGTCGTGGGTCATTGTTGAAAAATCGGGATAGACATCGTACACCACTGGGTTTACTGACAAGCTTCAGGATAAACGGCAGTATGAATTGTGCTTGTCATTTAATGGCAGTTTAATTTGAAAACAAACCCTTAAAAGTACTAGACAAACTACGCTACTGCAGAGCCGGAAAGGTAGCACTATGAAACCAGTGAGGGCTATGTAAAGCCCTGGTCAGAAGGTGACCTACACGGCCATGTGCAGAGTGATGGGGCAGTGGTCGCTTCCCAGGGACTTGTTGCGGATCTTGCTGTCGCACAGGCCCGGCAGCAGGCTGGACGACAGCAGGAAGTAGTCGAGCCTCCAGCCCACGTTCTTTCCACGGGAGTTCATCATGTAGGTCCAGAAGGTGTAGGCGTTGGCCTGCTCCGGGTAGAGCTCGCGGAAGCTGTCGGTGAAACCGGACTCCAGCAGCTGGCTGATGCCCTCGCGCTCCTCTGGGGTGAATCCTGCGCTTCTCTTGTTCCCCTTCGGGTTCTTCAGGTCGATATCCTGGTGTGCGACGTTGAGGTCGCCGCACAGCACCACGGGCTTCTGCATGTCCAGCTCGCTCAGGTACGCCCGGAAGTCCACGTCCCACGTTTTTCGGTAATCTAGGCGCACAAGGCCTCTGCCGGAGTTCGGCACGTAGGCGGTCACCAGGTAGAAGCTGGGGAACTCGGCGGTGATGACGCGGCCCTCCTTGTCATGCTCTTCTTTGCCTGGAGCGTTTGGAAGGTAAGGTGCAGTTAAGAATGGAATGTCTTCACCAGGATTCAAAGTTCAATAACTTATTGTGTAGGTTTGTGTTCACAAAAAAATTGTAGGGTAATAAAAAAAACTCAATTCACTCAGTTCTGACAATATGCTCATTCCTTTTCTTGAGACGTGTACAGTAAATGTGAAGCTAAAGTCAGCAGCCACTTAGCTTAGCATAAAAACTAGAAACTGTAGATGTACTTAAAAAAAATAATCAAATCTCTTTTCATGCAATTTCCAAACGCTTAAAAGTGAATCAATTTGAAGCTGTACTTCACAAATGTGCTTTACAAAATGATGCCCTAGAATCTAAACTAGTATTGTTGTCATTTACAGCCACCAGTGCAGGTTCAATGACAGTGTGCTATACAGGCCCAGTAGAAGACACCACTCACCAATGCCATAGGTGACTTTGAGGGGTTCAGTCTTGCACAGCATAGCCACACCACTGTAACCCTCCTTCTCATCGGACACGGCCCAGTACTTGTGAGGGTACTCTGGCATCGAGGTGATGGCAGCGGGGAGGGATTTCTCTGCACACTTTGTCTCCTGCAGGCACAAAACATCTGGAGCCTCCTCACGCACCCACTGGGAGGAAGAACACAAGCATTGGACCGTTAAAACTGTTCTCAGAACTTAACTTGGCAAATCACTCACGTTGCCTTCGGTCACCGCAAACGCACATCCAGGCCGTTCTTTTTCACCCAGGCCCTCAGGCCGTCAACGTTCCAGGAGGTGATCTTCATGTTGGCGTCGCGTCCATCTTTGCTGGTCATTTTGTCAGGAGGATCTTCGTACAATATCGGGGCCTCTGGTTCCTTAGCCTTCTTGGTTCTCTTTGCCGAAGCTGCGAGGTGAAAGACGCATACGGGGTCATGAAAGTGGTTGATCACACACACACACACGTTTCAGTTTAAAAGATGCATTTAAAAGTTGTTCGATATGCAGTAGAACAGCAAGTGTTTGTGCATTGGTGCACGCTGTCTCACCAGAGCCCGTGTCATTCTCCCCGTCCGCGACCGCCTCTTCTGCCTTCTTGCCTCTCTTCATGCTTGAATTCGCTCTGACTGCACACGCACCTCGCAGACACACAGCACGCACACACAACAGCACACACGCTGCTGGGGGAAAACAGAGGAGCAATTATTGTGATGCATTTCTCTGGAAACTGTTATCAGTCAATACACAAGAGTTTCACAGTTGTTTCCCACTGTGCCATTAAGGCTAAATCATCAGCATGTTTTTACTGGAGTGCAATCAAATGCAATACTTGAAGATGTCACCTGAGAATTATCTTTTTTCCTGGCATTTCTTAGGCTAACCAATTGTTTGAGAAAAATACTGATAAATAGTTGCATTAATTCTAATTCAACATATTTGAGGTTTTAAGTCAACATGCACAAAGGTTGAGAACTGATGTTGCGTAATACGGCACAGTTTCTTTGTTTACCAACAATATTTTAGATTTTAAGAACACAACAATTTAAAAAAATGAATCTGCTGTACTGAGCATAACATGTTTGTAGTTAAATAATACTTGTTAGGGCTCTCCGTTGGACCAGCTTTGTAACGGAGACTAATTTTTTTAGTTAATAATCTGCAAACATTTACAATAGTAAGTCTGAAAACTTGAGTGCGAACTAACACTCGAATAGATGCACATCAACACCAGTATCGCACTATCGAGTGTTGGCCGAGATACCATTAGGGTCCTCATAATGAAAAATCCCTCCGATTTAAACGCCATTTGTTTAAAATAGTGTGCTTGTAAAGGCAAGTAAATCCTCTGACTAAGTGGGAGCAAGCGGGACGTTTATTTTGATGCAAGTCGTTGCTGTGAAGAAGCTTATAGCCGAGCACATTAAATACAAAATATGAATACATTTCTAGCCCACTGGATGCACAATTAACAGCATGCACGGAGAAGACGCAAAACCCTAAAAAATAAATTAGCTAAGCTGCTTTAACGCGTTACACAACAGGTTTTGTAGCCAGCTATGCTAACGCTAGCTTGTCCTCCGTGACAAAGAGAACAGAGCCAGCAGCAGACGGCCTGCCTTGAGAATGAATGGAGCCAGCTAGCTTAATTAGCTTGATATGCATCTTATTTGATTAATCTGCAAATGCGGTAAAACAACGCACGTGATTTCATTTCAACCAGCAACACGTTTCAGAAAAAGGAGATGCAAATAATCTTACTTGTACTTTCACAACAGGATGCAAAGACGAGGTGAGTACTTCTTTTGTCACTTCCCCCAAACCAAACTCACAATGCAGTGCAAAGATTTCTCACCACGTGCTTGATGCACTTACTGAATGCCTAAACGTATGCCTGACAGAAATGACAAATAACACGTTTTTATCACGTCTTTTTAAATTGAAAAACGAAATACACATATGTAGCTGATATGACACATATTACATTATCTTGACTTGTTGCTGAAGTAAAACTTTATTTAGACAATGTTTTTTGGTGAGGCCATCTCTAGAGCTGTCAGTGTTTGGGAACATTTAGGACCCCTTTCAATGGAGGAGTTGAAGTGAAGAAGTTAGCCGAGGCAGTATAATTATTCGTTTAAAAGTATAACTGGCACGAATTTGGATTAATTTGAGTCACCGGAAGAAAGCGTAAAGGTAGGTACACTTATTTTTAAATTCAATGTAGCGTTAATGTATCGTTAAGCTAGTTTTACGGATACGGCATGCTGTCACTCACTGCTATCTTAACAGCTACACAGCTGTGCAGAGTGGTGTAATTTGGGTTTTCGCGCTAGCTAGACATGTACAGTATGTATACTATATTGTTGCATTTTGTACGTTTTTTGTGTCGGGAGGGGAGTGTAATATTTCCATAAATGTCACATAGTGTTATATTTAATAGTACAATTAAAATGGTGGCATTTAAAGCTTGTCACCAAAACCTAATTAAATATAAATTCGCAGTTAGCATATATTTGTCTATTCAGCCAGGTCTTTGAAAAAAAGAATGGGTTATAGACTATTTTTATTCACTTATTATATTATATTTAAATTGTAAACGCCAATTCTATTTTAGTTTAATTTGTATTAATTACTCAACCTATCGTATTTAAGTTATAAAACGTTATTATATTTTATTAACGTAATTATTGTTTCATGTTTAATTACTATTACTGTTATTTTAGCTTTAATTTCTATTTTATTACGTTTTAATCGTTTTATTGGCATGGGTGTATTGGTCTCATATTGTCAAACAGCTGAATCGTTATCTTTTCTGTTGTTTTTATGGTCTACACTTGTTCCGTCTTATTTTCATCTCTGATACAGTTTGAACTAAACTAACATGTACTATACAAATATAGTTTGAACAGATGTACCTCCCAGTCAAACTGTGTGACTATACAGTCTATAGACAATGTAACAACAGCTAACCACAGCCATCTGTACTAACCAGTGGACCTGGCAACTACCATTATTAGACCAAATGTAATGTGTAAAATTGGTGCAGTATCCCCATAATATCTTCTATTTTGCACTTTGTTTTAATCATGATTATTTTATCATTCCTCATTTTTCATGTTTGGCGTCAAGGAGAGATGAAATGATTCTGTAGAGAATACACTTTAAAAGAGATACTTTCCCTCTGTAACCATACCCTTCTTGGCTTTCCATGCAAAAACAATGCTTTTTTCTTTCCTGTTTTTTTTTTTTAGCTACCATGACTGTAGTAATTGGATTTGAGGGCAGTGCCAATAAGATCGGCATCGGAATCATCAAGGATGGTGAAGTGCTGTCCAACCCTAGACGGACCTACATTACCCCCCCTGGTCAAGGCAAGTCAGTAAGGACACTTTCGCTTCACCGGCGATATGTCAAAGTCTTAACTAGCTTGCATGTGTAGTTGACAACATGTTGTTTTACCCATCAGGGTTCATGCCTAGTGACACTGCCAGGCACCACCGTGCTGTCATACTGACTGTCCTGAAGGAGGCGCTGGAGCAAGCAGGGCTAAAGCCTGCAGACATCGACTGTGTGGCGTACACAAAAGGTAACAAAACCTCCTGGGCGTTCACCTAGGTAGAGTAAGATTTCAACCATCCAGATGTTTGTCAGAATGAGGCATCATTTTTCAATGTTTAATGATTAAAAGTTTTGTTCTCTAATTTCACCCACAAGTACTGAATGGCACATGGGAGAAGTTTGCCTTCAGGCTTTGATCTGTTCCCAAACATAACCAAGTAGGTGGTTTTCTGGCAGAAAGCCCTGACGACAAAGTTCTCGCATGTGCTGAGAGAGAAGATGAATTAAATGGAAGGTGAATTAATACTGGTGCAGCATATGATAGATAATATGATCATCCATAAAACATGTTATGTTCATGGATGCCTGCAAGGCGTCATCAAACTAATGTAATGTTCTCTCTCAAACAAGGATATGATGTATTCTATCACTCCGACATGACAAACACCGCTCTTTCTCTTTCTCTCTTTGTTTTCCTCCTCCTCATTCAGGTCCTGGGATGGGTGCCCCCTTGGTGACGGTGGCTCTGGTGGCTCGTACAGTGGCACAGCTTTGGGGGAAGCCGCTCCTCGGTGTCAACCACTGTATTGGACACATTGAGATGGGCCGACTCATCACACAAGCCAACAACCCCACCGTGCTTTATGTCAGTGGAGGGAACACACAGGTTGGTTTGTGACTGCCTCGCTCCTGAGGGGAAGCTATGAGTATTCCTGATGATCAGCTATCACACAGTGTTGGCGGAGCTGCTACATACACATTAAGTACACAGTTTTAGGTTCATCAGGTACAAATGTATACTCTTCCTGTGCAGGTGATTGCATACTCAGAGCGGCGGTACAGAATATTTGGGGAGACCATTGACATCGCAGTTGGCAACTGTCTTGACAGGTTTGCCAGAGTTATAAAGGTCTGTGCCATTCTGGTCTTTTTTATTTAGCAACTATTTGCCTTGTTAATTCTTAGTGCGGAACTGTTTCTTCACTCAGATTTCCAATGACCCCAGTCCAGGCTACAACATAGAGCAGATGGCCAAGAAGTGAGTGAGAGCCACTAAGCAGCTTCATTGTTGTGTGCTTAATACTAATATTTACTACTTAACTTTGCTTCTTATCCATGGTGTTAGAGGGAGTCAGTATGTGGAGCTGCCATATGCAGTAAAAGGAATGGACGTCTCATTTTCTGGGATTTTATCCTATATTGAGGTGAGTGGTTTGCTTGTCTGTTAAACTATATATCTATAAGAAATGCCGTCATCCTCTCTGTTGTCCTTTGACATGATGTAGATATTAATGAGGCAAATCTCAAAGATGATACTCAAGATGATGCCTACTTCATCATTCTTTTGGTTCATGATCCTAAAAGTTGTTTCCTATTTTTGTTCCATAGGATGCTTCTCATAAGATGCTGAGCTCTGGTCAGTGTGCAGCAGAGGACCTGTGCTTCTCCCTACAGGTACAAAGAACTATCAGTTCAATCCTGGAACCCATCGGCGATCGGTCTGATGACGATTGAGCCTCTTGGGACAATGGCCAGTATTTCTGGCAATCCAGAAATCTCGGTCAAGATTTGGTCTTCCATACGGTGGCCAATTATTCACTGTACAATTAGCAGCTTGAGACACGAGAATGGAGTTGAGAGACGATGCGTACGACCGGATTAATTAACAAGTAGTGAGTTTGTGTCATTATTTTAGGTACATTTTCTTCTGATGACAGCCGATGGGTTCCGCGATTGCACTTCATCCAATGCTATCTGCCTCTTTTGCTTTTCACATGGATTGTTTACCTGCATTCAACCATAACACGCTCAATTGTGATTTGTCAATACTACCCTGACTACAAACGGAAACCAAAATCCTCAGTCAGTCTGTTAATGTGATGCTGCCCCACATGGTGGATGTGTAGCTCAGTTAAAAAGCTCTATTGAGCCATTTGTCTTTATTGCCCAACACTAATGCCTTCCTCTTTGCAGGAGACTGTGTTCTCCATGCTGGTAGAGATCACAGAGAGGGCCATGGCTCACTGCGGCTCCCAAGAGGTCCTCATTGTGGGGGGTGTTGGCTGTAAGTACGTCAGATTTTAGAAGTTCATCAGACTTACATGGACGTATGTACAATATAGGAGTCAGAGAGATTGTGTATGATATTGTATTGTACACTATTTCTACAGTTGTAAAATGTTTCCCTTTGAAATGGTGCCACATTTGTAAGGAACATGCATTTGTGGGATGATACTTCAATACTATACTCTTTTCATTACATTTTTATTCAATATTATTCTAAATCTTCTGACATTATTTTACTGCTTTGTGACTCGTATGACATACTATACTATGACTTTTCTATTTCATACTATACTGTAACTTTTTTGGCGTATCATACTATTACTTTATATTATTTTCTGACCTTTTATGGCATACTATGTTTTTTTTTTATGGCTAACTTTAGGATGACTTTTTTAAATTAATTTCTAATGACTTACAGAAAGGGCTCAAACTGTCAGAGAGCCCTCAAACACTGCCCAAGGGAATTACCCATAATTCATTGCTATGGGATGTTAAACACGGGGTAACCAGTGAAAGGTAAACAAAGAGGAAGGCACAGGTGTGTTCAGCCTGTCATATTAAACTTACACAGAACCATTAAGGATTAAAGCTGGAACAAAAAACACATGAAATCAGAGGATATTTAATTTTGTCATCAAAGCTGATTTGACAACAAGTAAATAGATAATCTGACATTACCTCATCTTGTGAGGAAAGACGTATAATATAAATACACACAATTGTACATCATATTTTTTGACATTGTCATGGTAACGTGATATGTTGCAGCAAAGTGCTGTCCTGTTCCTATTTAAACCATTTTAAACCCTTAAAGTCTCTCACACTCAGTGATTTAACAGGTGGGTTCAGTGTTTGAGGCTTTAGGGGGGCGCTGTGATTGGGCCTTTATATCTTGAACCACACCAGGCTCAGGTGTGGTTCATCAGCTGATCAACATCCTGAAAGACAGAAGAGCCGGCAAATAGGACACAGACCCCTCGTGGAAAGGAGGGTTCATAACATATGCCAAACGTTTTTTAAAAAGTCATAGTATTCTTCATCCACAATATTCTTAACTACTGCTTTTTAATGAACTTCCCATCGCAGTCACAATTGCCAGAAGGAAGGCCTCAGTTGCCTGAAATGTGAACGTAAATTTAAACTATATACTCATCAATTTAAAAAAAGGGATCTAGTCCCAATCAGGAATCAAGAAAGCCTCGCATTTTATTCACCAGAAGATTTAACCTGTGCGACCTCTCGTTTCATCTGCAGGTAACATGCGCTTGCAGGAGATGATGGGGGTGATGTGTAAGGAGAGAGGAGCCAAGCTGTTTGCCACAGATGAACAGTAAACCAGACATTCATTTACTCTATTGATAAGTTAGATTTCTTGGGACCAAACCACAAGTACTGCTAATCATTTTTCAATGCATGCTTTGTTTTAGAATGAGCTTGAAGCTTGTGTTTTTCATCACTGAGGTGCAATTCTGTCACTGCAATATACAAGTCCTGCATCTCTATAGAAACATAGCTAGAAGTAGTCACACGTTTGTTCAAGTTCGTCGGAAAGAGGAAAATCTGATCAGCTTCTGGCTGTGATGAACGATGTAGTTTTGGCGAATGTTTAAAGAAAATGCTATTCCATCCTCCGGGCAGGTTTTGGGGTTCAGAGGGTTATGTACTTAAGAATCCATTATAATAAACGTGTTGTCAAACGTAAGTTATTGTTGGATGATGATGCATTTTGAGTACAGTGAAAAGTATAATGGTTTAATGCTTTGTTAAACAGTTAACAGTATAAGAGTAGTGGTAAATTGTCTGGACACAAAAAGCACTCAAGTGGCCCCTATCAAACTTTAGTTTGAATGTGAAAAAGAGCCGTCATTTCACTTGCCCTCACTGCTGAGTTCCTACAATAGTCTATCACAAAACTGTTGCACGTTCAATCAAAATAACAATTTTCCACCTTGTGCCACAGGTTCTGCATCGACAACGGAGCAATGATTGCTCAAGCCGGCTGGGAGATGTTTAGGTCCGGTCAAGTGACAGAGCTGGAAGACTCGTGGATTACACAAAGGTAGCCTTCACGTTACTAGTTCCGTTTATACTGCATCTGTCTTTTAGGAAATCATGGAAATGCTAAGTCGTTGCCCGGGATTTAGTTGTCTTTACAATTGGGTACACGGTGCCGCTATAGGTTTTACTAGACTCAAGCTAGGGTAAATAGTATTTCTGGATTAGCACTCCCAAAACGTAGGAGATAAATACATTTTATATTGCTACCGTGCTGTCATTCCTTATCTGTTATGTTGACCATGTTTCCTGTCGTAGGTACAGAACAGATGAAGTGGAGGTAACGTGGAGAGACTGAGGACCTGACCTCTTGGTGCTACGTATGATGGCTGGTCTAGTACTCCAGTGAGGGGACCCAACATTTTTCTGTACTTGTACATTTTAACCCCATTTAATGCAGCCAATTTGACGTTAAAGATTTAGGGTTTGTTTGCAGTTACATGACTTGTTAGTTGTGCAAAATCAAACCTGAACTTTAAATAAAAAAAAAAAGGGAACATTTCAAGTTTATTCATTTTTATTAAGCAATACTGTTCACTTACATTCCTCCTTTCTCCAGTGTAAATTTTTTTTATTCAATAAATTTTCTTTTCAAAAATCAACATACTGAACATGGTATAAGATCCCTTATGGATTTATGAGTAACATTCACCCGATTGGGGAACCAAATAAAAACAAAAAGGGACACAGCATTAAGATCTGGTGGGTAAAGGGTGAACTCTACTGTGCCTTTGACTACACCCTTCTGTAAACTGAAGACACGGGATACACAAGTCCTCTGCATACATTAACCATAAAACTCTAGCAGGTACAAGACATTCTTCTGTTTCTAATTGAAGGAGGGGGGAAAAGAAGAAAAAATTCGCTCTGGTGAGGGTTTCTCGCACACGGATTGGTCACAACAGATTTTTTTTTAACAAAGTGCTTGATTGACCACTCGCTTTACAGAAGACAAAAAAACAGCGATAAAACTGACTGCAGCTTCCAAAAGGGGGAAAAATTAAATTACAGCTCAGCGTAGATTGTTTAAAACAAATGACCAGCTCTACACATACAAGCTAAAAAGGTAATGAGGCGATGAAAACAGGTCTGATTAATTAAGGCAGGCTTTCTGTAAGGCGTTAAAAAAGTCCATTGCTGTAAGATCTCAAAGGAGTTAGTCCAAAGTGTCTCAGTGTGGCTTTGCGTGAAGACATCATCCTGAGTGCAGTGTGTGTGAACGGGACTCATACATTTGTCCATCTTTATGTGTTTAAATGTGCATGTAGGTGTGTGTTGTATACGTGTCTGTATATACTTTGGGTGTCTCACACTGCTAGGCTGGGTGCTCCTGGGTCTCCTTGTACCAGACCACCTTTTTTGGAACTGCAATACATGAGAACAAAACAACGTCAGGGAGAAGTTTGGAAAAACAGGAAGAAAAATAAAAAAAAATAAAAAATAGAAGTTACAATAAATTTGTATCGATTATAATGTATAAAATCAATAACATTTGAGTGTCTCGTAACCCTAACCAGGCAATAAATTGTTAGTCATAATACCGGTATAATTTATCAGATTTTCTAAAATTGTATTGTAACGTCATAGGATATACACACCGAGCATTGCTGAAAGCTAAATCGCTTCACTTTGGAGGAGTTAGTTTAAAAGGGGAGCTAAAGACTGTGGCAGTGTGGGCCTGAGGATACATACGGGAGGTATAGGAAAACTTGTTTAGTTACCATACCCGGAATTAATGATGATCCTCAGTCTCTCATCCACAACTGCTGCGTTACACAAACACGGCTAATAGCTAATTGTTACAAACAAGTGCAAGTTATTTTGTGGAGCTGCCTCATAGTGAAGGCTCTGAATGACGTAAGTTCCCTCTAGTAAGCAGTGTTCCAGTGTGCGTCTGGGGATTTTACTGTTCACGAGGCCGGAGTAATAAAGTTGATGCCGTCTTGGTTGCAGACTATTATTTTATTACCATCATAAAGTATAAGGGCAGCGTAACCTGCAGGCAGTGAATCACATCAGCAGAGGGAGGAGGACCGAAACCGACGGATTTCACTCAACAGGATTTGTTTCCAGTGAGAGATATTAACGAGTTTAAATGGTGACTCTGCTGTTACATTACTGTTTAGCCAACTTCTCCAGAAACAATGTTAAGCATAGTTATATTTCAAATGTATATTCAATTCTAATCCCATTATGAATTTTGAATTATGAAGCAAACACGTCGTACAGACCTAATGCTTTGTAACATGACAGCTGGTCAAAACAAATGCAGGTCTGAGTATGTAACACAAGTTACAGCAGGAAGAGTAGAGGATGATAGTAAATATTTGATAGGCTAAAGACAATATTGTGTCATATCGGTAATCAGACACACCCAGAGAGGTCATATTATTTTAGGGCCGTATGGCCCACCGCTATAACAAATGATTCATGCTCCCAATTGGCCAAAAGCATGGTTCTATCTGTTATATAAACATTTTACAAGCTGGGCAGCTCATTCTAGAATCAAATGTGCCATTTTTAACATCATCAATGAGGTGTGTGACACTCTGGTTCAAAGAGCACAGATCTACATAATGCAATGACAGTGATATGACTAACAATTCAGGTTGTTTCCAAAATAGACATAACTACTAAATATTGTCATGACATGTTAACACATTTAAGGAGCTAAAGCAAATAGGCCACGCCCCTCGAAACAAGCACGGCTTTGACTCATCGTACCTTTTTTCTGTTTGTTGCACATAGCGTTCCATTCTGAGAGGACAAAAAGAGGGTCATTGTTAGAATTAATTCTCTGAAACGAAAGTGCTCAAAAAAAAAAAAAAAAATCTGGCAGAACAATGTCTTCAAAGCACATCCCAATTCTCACCTCTACTGTGATAGTTCAAAGCCTCCATTAGATGGCGACAACTAAGCAGCAGCTTCCCGTTGCTTGCGTCCACCTCTGGGTGCGTGGTGGGGGGGGCAGAGGTAGCGACTGGAACAGGCGTGTCCTCCGGAGGCTGGACTGTGAGAACTGTCTCGAACTGTAGGTCTGCTGACTGTGCGGCGTCTGTGGGCTGAGGAGGGAAAGCGTTGGCAGCGGGTCGAGGACCGGAGGCTTCGCTGATAAAACTGAGACCCCACTGGTTCTGTAGCAGCACGCCGATGGCAGGGCGGTCCTCCTCCAGCCCCCCACTGGCCGCTCCCGCCTTCACCTTGGACGCGTAGCTGACGGCAGGCTGCAGCTTGGCGGGGCTGTCCTGCACTGGGAAGGCAGGTGGGGGCTTGAGCAGCGACAGACTGTCCTCCACCCACCTCTCCTTCTGGTTAACCTTTTGTGGCCGCTCGCTTACTCGGCTGACCCCCTTCTGACCTTCCCTGCGGAGGCTGCGGCCTTTGTGTTGCTGGCCCTTGCGCTCCTTTTCCCTGCGGAAGCTGAAGGTGTGCGCGTGGGTGGGTCCGATCAGGACGCCTTCGGGTGAAATCTGCCGGGGCTGTTGGTCACCCCCAGAGATGCAGCCTCCGCCTCCACCACCTCCACAGTTTCCTGAGCCGGGAGACAGGCGGCGGTTGCGAATATGAGGCTCGGAGTTGGTGGCTGCAACGAGGACTGCTGGATCACACAGGGTATCGGACTCACACACGGTGTTGCTGGCTTCCCATGTACCTGAAAGAAAAGTTGACAAGTTGTAGTTGAAATAAACAATAACAGTGTCATTTAGAAAGTAATTTCTCTCTTCTTCGGAAACAAAATATTGAAATTCTGATTAAAATGCATCAACTGCAACAACACCTGCAGGACAGGCAGTAAGTGGAGATCCAATCAACAACCAGTGTTCAGGCAGCCTCCCACTGCAGATTCAGACCAAGCCAAAGTGACCAATGCAGTGGAGTATTGCTGCGTACATGCGACCATGCTCGAGCGTAGACTATACAGATTTGAAAGCAGATGATTAAAGTGCTAGAGCCACGCTACAGCGAGAGTTCAGGAATTATCAACGGGTCACAGTCTTATGGAGCATTGCAGAATAAATACTTTACATTTAAATTAAACATCTTTTAATTGTTAATCATTTTCAAAACACATTAACAAAAGTTATTTTCTGCAAATTCTTGGTTTTCCCTATTTTGCTGAAAATGTGGCCGAAAAAACCGAGGTCATTTTGATGGTCGTTTTTCCAGCCAGTAGCGTGACTCTTAGAAGGCAAAAGAATAAGAACTGTAGACCGCCACTTACGAACAGTTAAATACGCCTTTAAAGTGTATTCTGAAGGGCTTAACTGTGTGCGTCCACTCGCTCTTAAGTGTTGCATTGGAACGTGTAAAAAAGATCGACCAATATATGTCAGTGTGAAGGAGTAAGAAGAATATTAATTTTCTCTCAACAAAGCAAAGAAAGAATTTCATTTTCTCTACATGCAGAACTTAAAAAATACAAGCACAGCTCGGCTCTTTCTGTGATGAACATTAAGAAACAGTTTACATCCGTTTTGGTATTGGCGAGACCTTGTAGATTGGTCATTGATCATACCGTTAAAAACATTATTATTACAGGTAAATGTGGTGTTTGGTTTCTTCAGAAACCATAAGAAAAGAAAAAGATTTTCTATAATAAATTTGGTAATGGCATTCAAATATTTTCATGAATATAAAGCTATATATGAAAGTACTTTCTAATTCGCATGACAAAAAGTTAATCATGATACTTAATATCTGTATATTCACCACAGAACATGTTTGAAGACGGACAGTGCGATAACGGTCGCTTGATTCAAGGCCATTAGTAGTGCCAGTGAAACCGTGAAGCCAAAGGATCAGACATCGCTTCAAGAGGCATTTGCTCGAGGCACTGCCTGACAGGAAAAGCAGGTGGTGGAGCGACGTTACAAAAGCAATAATCCACTTATGTAGGACTTCTTCAAGCTAGTCGAGCAGACGGCTTCAGATCAATGATTAGAACACTGGACTCTTCTCCACTTCTCTACAACATAACTGTTTTACAACGATCTTAAAATATGTTGCTTTAACAAAAGGAAAGTTGTTAGCATTTATGACTTATTCAATATATTTTATATAGCCCAAAATATGAACACATACAGGACCGGAAAACATTTATTTTTTAAGTTATAATTCTACTATGTTGAAGTTTGCACAATAAATATTTTTCACATTCTGCAACTGTTTCACGTAATCCGATTTATTCATGTATTGTTTAATTTTGTGGAGCCATGATTAATAATTGAGTCACTTTAGTCTATACATGACATTATAATGTTTTTTTTATATTCTATGTACTCCTGGCTGTAGAACACGGCAACATAAACATATAACGGTCATGTCACATCATAAACTGATATCCAGTGAAACCACCAGAATCTTAAAAAAACAAAAACACGGTGAATCAGATAGAATTGTCAATTTGTCTAGAGTGATATTCCCCTGGCTCTCTAGCTGTACTTGTACACTAGCCCATGTATGATGAATCTGGGTTATTTTGATTAATACAAACGAAGTTGGGACAAGTAGCAAACTGGTGTAAAATAACACAACGCCATTGGTTGGTTTTCCTCCCAGCCACAACGGGTTGGAACACCCCAAATATCCACATTCCATGCATCCCAGAAACAAGTTCCAGGTTTTGGTGATTACACTGTCACAAAGAACATCACTCATCTCAATCATTTGGACCAAGTCTTGAGAGACCACACTCAACATGTAATAATCCCTGTCCTGCTCGTATTTAACAACAGTCCTGAGACAAACAGTCTAACAAAACACAGGATTCTTCACTTGGCACTGGTTCACAAAGGGATCTTTGCACTAGACCGTTTCATATAAAACAAACTGACTGACTACAGCCTACCATAGCGTCCACTCCCTGTCACCACACATCTCACCGTTAGTGATATTGTACCAATGTTACACAACGACATGTGTGTCATTCAGTAACACTAGATGGCTCGCGGTGATCAAGGAATGATTAACTTAGTATTGACGGGGAGGTTAATTTATATTAGTTCAAGTTTAGCCATTTTCTGTCCATGTGACACACGAAAGACAGACAAACATTACCGCCCGCTGTTTCTAAAGGCATGTCGGCGGGTGCTTTGTATTGTTACTTAACTTGTGTGGTCACAAATGTCGATGAAACACGCCAATACGATTAAGAAAATGATACACACGGCCCGAATAGCGTGCCCGCTCTAAAGCGCCACAATTCAACTAAACTGGAGCGGTGACGTTAGTTTTCCAATCCAGAGAGCTCCCAACGAACTAGCTGCCCGTATTCCAGTCTCTGGTTAAACATAGTAAATTGACCACTTTATAGAGTATCTTTGGATAACAACATGCTATGACCCGTGTGTGCGGTGCTGGCCGCTAACAAGACGGCGAGCCAGCCCTGGTGTTAGCTAACTTTAATTAGCAGCGTCATGGTGCGGCGACTTAAACTCGACGGTTTGTATTCATCTGCCGTCACTGCATGGTACATGTAGTTTAACAATGTCTCAAAAACAACGGTTGTCGCATAAGAGAGGGCCATAGTTTCTTACCATATCATGTAATTAACAGCTAGCTAGCATATTAGCCGAACTCAAAGTTTCGTAACCCCCCATTCAAAGCGGCGAGCAGGCTGCTATCGACGCCGATAGCATAGTTGCTAACACCATCGACAGGACAACAAAATAGATTCTGAAAGTGAAGAATTTCGGTCAGATATGTCAGAAAGTTGTATAAACTTACCTGTTTTGATATGCATGTCTTTTCGTTTAGCGTGTTGTGGAAGTTTAACCGTTTAGTAACTTTTGTTTACAGCGTCAGGATAACGACGGCTCGCTGGTTGAGTCTTGTGTGGCCACCCGGAAGCGACACGAGAATGTGGGTGGGACAGGAAGTCCCTGCACATAAAGGGTCCGGCGGGAAACTTGGAGGGAATTTTATATTCAAACCTGTGTATGACGACAACCCATGTGATAACCACGTGGTGTCATCTAGACGATAGTGACAGACGACACATCCTCATTAATGTACTTACATAAGTATGATATAACAATAGCAAATGCAAGCAAATCAAATGGTGTCTATTTGTATGGGGAAGGAAACTTAGCTCTGCCAAAGTAAAAGTTGGTGTTGTCTCTTTAACCTCTTTGTTTTTCTTGAAAAGTAAGAGATGTTCAGGCCTCTATCAATTAAGGGAACAAGAAGGATATCACAAGAGGAACTGCTCACAGCTTTTTGGCAGATGAGAGAAAATAAAGTAGACTTATACATAATGATCTGTTTTGACCATTTCCATTTCCCACACTCACAAAACTGGTCTGAAGGGTCTAAATGCTTTTGAGATTTTGATTAGCAAGATATATTAACTGTAACAACCTCTGTTTACCTCTCTATATATTTGTGTCAAGTTGGAAATAAACAATCATACGAAACAAATAATGTAGGAATACTCACGTCTGATCCTTTGTGTCTGCTTCTTTGCTCGGCTTTATCGCTGTTCCCACGCTCTCCTCTCTCTCCACTGTCCCCCAGATTCTCCACCTCCTCTCTTTGATCATTTACCTTTTGAAATGTCCTTAAAATGACCCTACATGTTATCTACAATCTCTGTCTTCTACCCCTTTAACACATTTGAAGTATTCCTTTAATAAACTAAAACCTCATTCTTAGATTGTTAATTGGCATCATCAACATCATCCTAACATTCTCTCAAGCTGCCCCCACAACTAAGGCAGAACACACGTAGCTTATCATGAAGTAAACTGAATATAATAAAATGTATATAGACTAAATAAATGATCCACCTCAACTAGTTGGCAACAGACAATGCTCCCGTTTCCAGACTTCTTCCACTGGTTCTCTGCCCCGTGGGTAATGTCAAGTATCTCTCGCACAGGTTTCCTAATTCGAATTAATTGTAACGCTATTACAAGCAACTTTGATTTTGGTGGTCCTTGTGGACGGAAGTGGTAGTGTTTCTGAGTGCTCGACTCCGTTTAGAAAACCTCTCATTTTACTGCAGCAGGGTCTGACAGTCTGCCGGGCTCAGTCCTGGTTCTGGTTGTCCCGTGCCTCCATTGCCCAGCAGCCATACGGCCTGGATCTCCAGCAGTGTGGTGTCTGCTCCCTACGGGGACCGACGGAGCAGCGAGGAGAAGCTCTGCTCCTGGGCGGAGGAGGAGACGCTGCTGGGCTCTCCTCCTCCTGCCAGAACTTCCGACTGCAGGTCGAAGGCGACAGCGAAGCCAGAATGCCAATTGTAAACATATGCCGCCGTTTTTGTTTGGGAGGGATAATCTTATACGATTTGATGACATCTAGTTCTTGTCCTACAAAGGTTGAACACACTTAAGACATTTTGAACAAAAGCATCTGCTAAATGAATGTAATCTAATGTCGCTGTCTGTTTGACTCGTATCTTGATTATATCAGCATGTACCAAAAAAAGTTCCTTTGTTCACAAAACCAGACAACTATATTTTTCCAAAGATGGTTCTCATGCATCATATTGTCACCACATGAAAAAAAAAATATTGATTAAAGTTTTTATTTAAAATGAGAAATCAGCGATTGGCATCTTCTAATTCATACATCATTGGCTCCTAGCAGCTCAAAGACTAAAGGACTCCACTACTACTCCCTTCTCCATGTGTGTGCGTACGTGTCTCTTCAGCCTCGTAGAGGTAGAGAAACTCTTCTTACAGAGCTGGCAGCTGTGTGGCTTCTCCCTGGTGTGTGTTCGGACGTGCATGTTGAGGTCGGAGGAGCACCTGAACCTCCTCTCACAGTGGGAGCAGGAGTAAGGCCTCTCTCCAGTGTGGATGCGCTTGTGGAGGAGGAGCTCGCCAGAGGTGAGGAAGGTCTTCCCGCACTGAGAGCACTGGTGGGGCCGCTCCCCCGTGTGAGTCAGGTTATGTCGGACGAGCGAGGTCGACTTGGCGAACCTCTTCCCGCAATGGGTGCATGCAAATGTACGCTCCCCCGCGTGCGCGTTAAGGTGTTCACTCTGAGCTCGCTTGGTCTTAAAGCTCTTCGGGCACTGCGGACAAGCATACGGCCTGAGGTTGCTGTGGCTGCGCTGGTGCCTCGCCAGCTCTCCGTGCGTGAGGAACGTCTTCTCGCAGGTGGTGCAGAGGTACGGCCTCTCGCCCGTGTGGGTTCTTTCGTGGCGCGTGAGGCTGGCCAGCTGGGTGAAGCTCTTCTCACAGCGGGAGCACTTGAAGGGCCGCTGGCCGTTGTGCGTCAGCCGGTGCCGGTTCAGGATCTGGAGCTGCGTGAAGCTCTTTCCACACTCCGCGCAGGGGTGCGCACGATCCCTAGTGTGGATCTGCTGGTGCTTGTTCAGGAGCCACACGTGCGTGAAGCTCTTCCCGCACTTGCAGGCGAACGGCCGCTCGCCGGTGTGCTTCATCTGGTGTCTCTTGAGGTCGGACGCTCGGCTGTATATCTTCTCACACATGGAGCATTTGAACTGATGCCTGACCACGTGTCTCTGCCTGTGTCTCATCCGCTCCAGGATGCTGCTGAAGCTCTCGCCACATTTCTGGCATTTGTACCGACCGCCCCCTTTCTCCGGCATCTCCTCCGCTGCCACGACCTCCGTCGTGAACTCGACGGGAGGGTTGCACCTCTGGCTGCAGGCGGTTCGCTGTAAATGCAGCTGGAGCAGCCCCATCTGTGTGAATCGCTTGCCACACTGGGAGCAGAGGAAGGGTCGCTCTCCGGTGTGAATGCGCTGATGCCGGGTCAGATCCCAAGAGTTCTTGAAGCCCTTCTTACATACCTTGCAGGTGTACGGGCGCTCGCCCGTGTGCGTCCGCTGGTGACGAGTCACGTCCGAGGCGCGCGTGAATGTTTTTCCACACTCCTGGCACGTGTGAGGGTCGGGCCGGTCGTGGATGGGGAAAGGCGATGGGAACTCTGGACGCCGGGCCTTCTTCTTGGGGACGTCGGCTGCCTCTGCAGAGCTCTGGAGTTTGCTGTACTGCTCAGGGTGACTGTGCTCAATGTGCTGCAGCAGGTAGGACTCCTGCATGTGGAAGAAGGGACACTCTGAGCAGGCGAAGACCTGGGTGGACATCTCCACAGTGGTACCTGTGCAAAACACAGAAAATATACGTAGTTGTTCTATGTTTCCCTTAAATGGGAGAAACCGTTTGTTTGGAGTCCCTTTGGCCTTTTGACATTGCTGGTTTCTCGCCCTTCTCATCCAAGTGTCCCATGTGCTTTATTGTCCAATATAACTACAATAAACTGGATAAAACACGAGTGGGTCCCAGAATCATTTTATAGAGATCTCCATCCACACAATAATACCTGAAGAACAACAGTAGAACAAGTCTCACTGTCGTGTTTCGTCTGTCAGCATCTCCACCAACATGTGGTCGACAGTCTGGTTACTCTGCTGAGTCTCAGCTCATTCAACGTCTGTCCAGTGTCCAACGCTGTTGTTTTCATTTGTGTCTGTTTTCTCTTTCTGTTGTCAGAGAACTGACCATGGACAGATTACTGAACAGGCCTACCAGGCACAGGGGTCCTAAAGTGTCAGGGGCCCTCCTGGACTTCACCTGCAAAATGTCACTCGAAGAGACACTTACTGACCACAAAGCGATTTAAAACAACCACAAAGAGACACTAATGACTACAAAGAGAAACAAAATGACCACAAAAAGATGCACATTGACTACAAAGAGACGTAAAAACAACAACAGAAAGAGGTGTCTTGACAGGTTGTGGGCCCATTGTCTCATAATGAGCCCATGCAGCTGAATGAGTAACATTTTTAATCCCGAAATTGGTCTATGGCTTTAAAATTCCTTGTGCATGAGAAATTATATTAAACTGTAAAGTCATGCATCACATTATTACAGCCTGCTGCTGTGGCGTAGTCATGGAACAGCGAGTTCTAACATGCAGACGGGGAGCTGGACACTTACCCTGTGTTCCGAGGTGCTCGAGGCATTTGTGGTGCTGCAGGAGAGACCTCAGGTCGTCGGGATTGGAGAGCGCTTGCAAGCAGTCCTTCAGGACGGAGGGGGCGGACATCAGCCACGACACAGTCTGTTTAGGGACAGAAAAACAGCCTTGTCAGCAAGAATGAGCTGATCAGTACAGGGTAAATAAAAAGTGACAAAACTTAAAACACATAACACTGGTACTACTACTCCTGAAAATGATAACTATCGGTACCAAAGCTAATAGGGATTTCATTCCACCCAACACTGGTTATTATTTTTTATATACACATGCAGGGTTGTAACTATCGAAAGTATATTTTTTAATAATCATAGAAGCCATTAACTTTAAATCAGAAATATAAAAACTCACTTGCTAAACACAGCACTTAAAAATGTTTTAAAACGTTCTTATATTCGTATGGAAAGAAATAATTACGCCATGTTTATATCATAACCCGTATTCCAGACTTAAAATCAGAAAATTGAAAGGTTGGGACATTCTTCAACACAGTGCATGTTTCCAGCAGCAACAGCTGTAACGTGAGGCTGTCTCCTACCTGACTGAGGTCTGGCACTGGCAGGAGTTTCTCCAGTTTAGACAGAAACTCCCACACGAGGAGCTGCATGTCTGTGTCGTAGCCGGGACCGTACTCTGTGGGAAAAACCTCCTGGGAAGAGCAAAGGTCACAGTGTCGGGACATAGTTACAAAGAGGCAGTCGGGTGCACAAATGGGTCCTCTTTAGGAGGCCAGATGGGGCCACATGTGAAGCTGCCTTGCCTGGTAAAAATGCTCCCTCTCTGCTGGGTCCTTCAGTAGTGTTTGGATGAGCTCCACAAAAATGGCCTCCTCTGCATCCACCTCTGCATCTCCACTCTGAAAAACACTATCAGTGTTATGTCCCCAAACAATATAAGCATATAATCTGACCAATAATTACAAGCTTCAGGTCATTGTGCTGTAGAATGAGAGAACCTGTTATAGGGAATTGTAATAACACTGCTCTCACTTACTCCTGTGTTTCCTGCTGGGCGGATTCGTTCTAGGTGAGGCCGTACACACAAAATGTTGGCCGTTTCCTCATCTCTGCACAACTCAAGAATAACCTGAAGAGAAATATGTCGGAAGAAGAGAAAGGCGTCCCCTCAGCAAAGACTGAGTCCATGAAGTACACAAATATTGTCCGATTATCAATATTTTTGGGGATGTGATCTCACGTGAAGCCCCGCTGACTCACTCTTGCTCTCAGCCGCAGAAGCAGCTTGCCCCGTTGCTGTGGATTGAGCAGGTCTGGCACTGTAGCCGTCACCAGCATCACAAACTCACCAAGCTTTTCATAGTCGAGAACCTCTCTCCGCTGAGCCACCTGCCACATCGCTGCAGAGAGCAGCCGCAGGGGAGGAATCAGCAGCCTTAGTGATGACAACGGTAGGAATATATCTGTGGCAACATAGAGACATGTGGTGGACAGGGTCATATATATATATATATATATATATATATATATATATATATATATATATATATATCTTTGTGATGTAACAAGTGTGTTCTTGTTACATGCAAAAGTGGTGGAACTTGACTCTGTGTGCATGGTTGCTTATAAAATAAATACAGTCATACACAGTGTCTGATGTGACTATTTAGGTTGAACACTTTAAATATGGCTTAAATATTAAGAATACGAAGGTATGTAACTATTTGCTCATTGGGGATCCTCCTGTACCAGATGTCTTGTTAAGAGTAAACCCAACACACTTCCACGGCGCAAGAGTCAGCGCAGATATGGACCCTGTATTCCAGTCACAACATGCAAATTACACAACAGGCGCATCGAAAACGTGTCAGCTGAAAGCCACAGATGTGTTGAACGTCTCAAACGAACGCAGGTTTACAGCACGAGTGCAGCTGAGCGCATTTTAACAGTGGGATTTAGCTTTGTTAGCCACAGTGGGAAAAGTGGCTAAATTACAAGCGACTGGTTTACAGTTTGTCGTAATCACAAAGGAGGCTTCAGACTGTCGTTTACAAAAGAGAAACGCTTAAGCTGTTGCGTAAAGTACATGTTGCCCTAGTTGCATGTTTTGGAGTGTTTACATTACGTATGTTGCGTTAGCTAGCATCGCTGCTGTTAGCTGGGGCTAAGCGATAATGCAAGATAACGACACTATGCAAGTTAGCGTTTAAATGCAACCATTATTAAATTATTAAACACTCCAAGAAAACGGACCTGTGTTTTCCACTTGGCCGGAGCCACCAATCGTTTCCATGGTTAAGGCGACGTAAAGTCACTTTTAAAAGTCTACCATTAGCTTGCAAGCCATTTGTTGTTAGCTCATCACGGACCGGAAACACGTGTTGTAAAATTTCAAAAATAAGAGCGTAAAGTAATAAACAGTAAATGCGAGTACATTGTAGCTATTCAAATTACTTGTCATTAACCGTACCAGCTGGTTATGTGCAGAGCGCTTTTATATAATACGAGATGTAAACAAGAAATACATTGTCACCATTTAGTATATAGGTAAAACGTTTTATTTGCAGTGTATTCCACATGAAAACATTCAAGATTTAGATTTGGTGGAATTATATTCCTCAATATCAAATTTTTCTTTATAATTTATAAGTAAAAGCTCTGCTGTCATCACAGCCCCCACACTGGATCATCAGTCACTTTTTATTAAAAAGTGCGTTTCTTCCCCACAGCAACAACGTGAATCCATCCATGCAGAAAGACCGTCCAAGCCAACTGGCTACAGGTCACCGAGGGAAGAGGCTTTGTGGGGTCAAATCTCTGACGTCAAAGCAGTACGCCACAAGTATACAACTTGCAGTTCCATGGTCCAAGCCATGGCAACTTGGGATGTGACATCCAATAATGTGGCGTTAAATTTCAGTCAAAGCTGGGTTAGCATTCCTGACAGCAGAACAGGACTAACACTCCATGTCTTCAGGCTCCAGAGTCCTTTCAACAAAAGTAAAATGTTAGATCCCGGCGAAAAGAAAAAGAAAAACAAAGTACAGATGAATACAGTGATTTGACTAGACTACAACAACTTTATTGAATTGAACGAACAGAAAATATATATTAAATTGCTCAATTGGGGAATTCTCCAGACAAAAACACTATAAATTTGCTTTCTCTAGCTTCTTCTTTCATTCTATGTATTGACAGTTATACGAGAGTAAACCGGGTAGTGTTTACAATGTATTTACGACAAATGGGCAAGAATGGTCAGTGGTTAACTTGCGTAACGTTACTTAAAATATAAAAGCTTCTGGGCTTGGGTAAGTTTAACTGAAATGTAACTGTTAGTGACAAATAAATAGCTTGACGTAAACTATCTATCATTTCACATTGTTTTAACAAGACTAACTTAGCTCAGTACCGTTACGTTAGCTTAGCAACTTCCGTAGCCTCCCTCTCTAATACAAAACTTCTCCCACTTACCTTTCTACGGGACTATGTAATACATGACGAGGAAAAACACGATGTCAAAGACCACGAACAACCAGCAGTCGTACCAGTAAGAATGTTTCGGTAAAGATATCGAAGCTCCGTTAGTTTTAGACATTTTAAGGTATTGTTCTGACTCAGTCACGGGGGTCGAGTCTTGCCCCATGTTTGCTTGAGCTACAGCTGCGTACAACCCGGAAAAGCACACACGTGAAGTAGTCCTTCAAAATAAAACAAAAAATCCTTTCTAAATTTTGAAAGCTGTGATTACTGGTATTTTATTTGTACTATTTCCCATTGAAAACATGTTTTTGTAATGTATATAAAAGTAATACTTCAGTCTTTTGAATCGTGTATCCTGTGAAAACATATTGGTTACCCTTTTTAGCTCATTTGTATTGTCAACAGATGTCAGAAGGCCATCACCAAAAACTTGTTACCCTATGGGCTCTAGCGGTCTGTCTTTCTATTTGACTACACATTAAAATTTATCACCAACAGAGAGAAATTCACACAGGCAACAGTCACTTTGGCTAAGATAATATCACTTGGGACCATCTACATTGTGGCCAGTGAGTACATTTAAGTGTACTAAATGTTTTTTGTTTTTGGTATCATCTCAATGTAAAAGGAAACTGTAACATCGTGACACTCAATATTCACCTTGAAATACTCACCTCTGATGCCTTGACCCTCCACTCCATAAACTGGCCATAAACAGAGCACACACAAAAAAAAGCTCAGTGTGCTGTTTGCTCGTGTGACACCAAATACCATTTATTAGGGCTTTACAAAGACTACAAAATCCTCCAGATGAGTTAAATCACTGTCTCTGTCTATTTACATGATATGTTACATACAAATGTACAAAATATAAAACATTTAAGGACAAATGTTTCACCCAAAACAACAGAAGAAAACTTTCCCTCAAACCAGAGTAAATGCTATGGTTTTTCAACTGAGATGTAACCGCAAAGTGTTGGGTGGGAAAAACGACCAGCTGATCATCAACACTATGGCGCACACTGTTAACGGTGTCAGTCTTCTGCTAGCTCAGGAACTCATGGCCTACAACAGGAGTGTAGAGTAGCTGAGAGGGTGAATTGTGGGAGATCTAAGCTCAGGTTTGATGCATGGGTGCAACTGTAGGTAAGGAGCAACCTGTTACCCGTGGTAACTACCCCCTGATCATGCAACTACACACCCTTCCAGGTATATGTGCGAAACCATCAGAGGCTTGGCCACAGAGACACGTGTGAAGCTGAGCACAGGTAGGATTGTAGAGGGTATAGGATTGTCCTGAGGTTGTGACAACACGACTTCTTGGTCTCTGGTGGGCTTTGACTGACCAGTAGCACCTGTTGGTTGTTGGTAAATGTATACAGTACGCAGTCAAGTTCAGCTTCGGTGCCTCGGACAGCCGGCAAAGCCTAACGTGGCGGTAAGCTTGGGTGAAAATATCCAGAGAGGAAGTGCATCTAAGGAACAACAGGGATTCCTAAAGATGGAGAGGATCCAGAGAATATTACGGCAGGAGGGGAGGGGGGGCTGGAAATGTGCCAATTTTTTTATTCTCAGTCTGTGATTTTAGTGAGTTAAAAACTTTTTCTTACTGTACACCTTGTGCCTCCTGCATAGGCAAAGACATCCAATCACCACAAGACACACACCCCTTTTCGACAGCGTGTTGAGTTTTTGCACTCCTTTTTTTCCCCCCTCTCTCTTCTTCTCAAAGTACAATAATTTACTCAGCGAGTTAAGCATATTGTAACATCAACAGGGCAGAATGCATCTTTGATTCACTGTGCAAGACTGAAGTATATACAACCCACCCCGACCTCAAAGTGTGCAAAACCAACCCGCTCATTAAACAAAGAGAGGACAATCAAAATTCAAAATGGCTTCCGTCCAATACACGCATACATAACGGTAAAGGTCTCCCCTCAATGCATTCCCTTTCAAAAGCTTTAAAACATGCTCGTCAGGCTAGAAAACCCCAAAACTGTTTGGTTGTGCTCCTGTCAGTTCAAGTGAGCCCAGCTCAACTGGACGAGAAAACAACAACTAAAAAATACCCCACCCCCTTCTTTAAATGTTCTTTTTTTTTTTTACAATATTGGTCAGTTTTAAATTCAAATACATCAATTCCTTAATACTTTGACTGTCAGAAACAAGAAAGGGCGGTTTGGAGGAAGAGGGAGCAACCAAAAAAAGAACAAAAAAGGCTGTTTTCCCGACTACAAGCAGCTTCTTTGACGTAGCAGGAAGCAGATCATCATCAACCGACATCAACGTGTCTTTTCTCACTCGAGAGCAGCGGATGCCTCCCGAACGTTTGCACATCTAAGGCAGTGAGAAAGCACCAGTATCTTTGTTCCCCTAATCCGCTCTTGGGCCGATCTGGTTGACTTGCATTTCAAAACACTTTGGATTCTGTTTTTGGTACCTCATGGGTCCCAGAGGGGTGCAGATGCCGAACAAGGCAAGTCAAATGAGTGCCAGAAAGTTCCAAGCAGGACACTGTCAGCTTGCATCACTCAATTCAATACTACTGACACTGCGTTGATTGATCAGCTCTGATTCATATTTGTTGGAGTGAAAGTCAGTCTCCTGCTTTCCTGTTACTTTGCCCTGTTGCAGCAAAGCCCCACCCGCTTGGTTCTCCATGCAGGGTAACGCAAATGTCACAAGTATTCAGCTTTTTGCAATTGACCTTTGGCTAAGCCACGCCCCCCCTTCGCAATTCCGTTCTTGCACCTATGCAGCGTGCAAAGACAACGATTGCATATTTGCCACTAAATCACATTTTATCAACTGTAGCTAGATAGCTGATTGAGCTCATGTTGGACTTTTTAAAAATGTTTTAAAATGATAATCTTGTATATGGATCTTAGATGTGCACTTGATGCCTACATGCATGATCTCAGGCTAAAAGACGAATAAACATGTCCCGGGTAAACAGTCAGCATCCAATCAGTTGCTGGTCCACGTGGAAGTAAAGAAAAAAGCATCGTTCTTGTCTCTAGTGAGACCAGACTGATATTTCATTCGAGCATAACTCTGTTTGGCTGCTTCGCTTGCATACTTTTTCATATACTGTATGTATGTTCTCACTTTTCAACGATACATGGGGAAAGGCTCTTAGGATGGTGACTAAGCTATGTGTTCGGCTAATGTTATCTCACTACTGTAAGTAGTAACCATGTCAGCCCATCGTGCTAACATTTGCAACTGACCTTCCAAACTACATCTCCATGTTCAGCACCATTTAACTTGTGGAGAAGGCTTGACAGGGTTGCCGAGTCATGGGTGCTACTGATAGGACAATCGCTGTTCAAGGGAGGGGTTTAGAGGGACGGCTAATAAAGACAGCTCTGTGAGCACCCACAGAAAGTGCTGCCTGCTGTTCACGTGATGCCTTGTAAGCTGTGGAGTGACACGGAAGGCCAAGTACAACCTAATCTAAGTTTACAACCATGGTCAGTTGTGCCTTGTGTTGTTAAGTCTCTATGTGTGTGCGGTTGCGTGTGTGTAAATGGCAGTAAATCAAAGGGAAACATTGGCACTTGTCCGTTTTCTTTTTCCTTCACAGTAGCAATGTGGCTGGATGACACACAGACAATGGCGCTTTCCTTGTGCTCGTTGTTGGTGTGCCGGGGGCAGCGAGTGGCGGCTTGGCAGTGCCCGACACCGAGGAGGCTCAGGGCGGGAGACCAGCACCGTGACACTCAACTGGCGACTGAGCAGGAGGGGTCACGTGTGTCTCAGTGCCCTCAGCTCAGCAATCAAACCTAAAATAGCAACTTGCGAGGAGCCACTTCAGTTGAACAGCTGGTCGCTGACATTGTTGAAGCACAAAATCAATCTGATGGATCTGATTTGTGTGTATAGAAAATCAGTTGTCTGCCAGGCTGAGAGCCTCCACCTTGGCCAGCAGGGGGCACTACATCACCTGTAAACACTCAACAGTATTCTCGTACTTGACTCCCATCATAAGTGGAGTCAGAGATGAGGGTCCCAGGGTGGAATAAACAGTGCCTTGCTCAAAGGACTTTGGCAGGCTGGATTGTTGTTCACACGGGGGGGGGGGGGGGGCTTGAACCAATTAAAGGACAGTGTCCTCCTGCTGCCTGTGTGTAAGCATATATGTGTGTGTGTGTGTGTGTGAGAAGCACCTCTGTAAACAAGGAAAGACATAAACAACAGAACTCCCCCCCCACATTGTAAACATCTGAAGATATATCTGGGATAAAAACAAACAAAAAAAAAAACAATCCAGTTGAAATTCTTGGCTTTCTCTTTTTTTCTGACATGTCTGCGATCTGTGGTTCGTCACGGCCGAGCACAAATGTGATTTACTCCTTGAAAGTCAACTTCAGAGGAAGAGCCGTCCCTCGCCAGACCCGTCCTGCCTCCACATATATGAAAAGTTGTATTCTCGAATGTTATACATCCATTAAAAAATGACTAGCTGACCTGCCTATCTCATGTGATTAAAATATAGATGGATCCAACTTGCATGATTGTTCATCACTTTGATCACAGAGATCAAAGTTGGCTGCTGCTCTTGAAAACATACAATAATTTGATTTGAATATTGCACCATTGTAATGTAAAAATATGGGGTGATCTTTCAAATGGCGGATAATAAAACATTTCATACATCCTACATCTGTGCACTATCGGAGGTGTCCGGCGGCGACGGAGGTCTGAAGGTCCCCCTCGGGCTCTGGGTCTCATAGCGCCGACTCCAGCGAGGAGTCCAGCTGGTCGTCATGGTGACTGGTGCTGTCACTGTCGCAGCTCTGCGTGCTGGAGTAGTTGGCTGCCTCCTGCAGCCGCAGCAACATGTTCATCTGAAAACGCAGCACACAGACGAAGCCTCAATAATATAGAGATATGTACGCAATAAAGTACGCAGTGTTTCAGATAATGCACGCACTGGCATACTGAATTTAAAAAACAGAGTTTTTCGACGGACAAAGCAAAGCAAAAGCTGGGACACAAAGCAACTTCACAACAGAGAGACAAACAGTATCAGTGAAAGGATACCTAGTGAGCTGGCGTGATCTTTAAAACACCCATTATAAACTTAGGTCTAATGACTCACAAACTTTGTTTCTATACTTAACATGTGGTAAAAGGCACTTTTTAAATCCTTGCGGTGAATCACCACAATAAAACTGCAGAACTTCTCATCCTTGCACCTGAGCTAATGGACTAAATGATGCAGAAGTGCTGCTGCATCTGGCGCATTACCTCAAGTGTTCCTAAAATGAGCTTAGGCACACCTGCACTAGAACTGGTCTCGCCTGGATGGACCACACACACACACACACACACACACACACACACACACACACACACATACAGGCTAAATCGAGCCAGTTGTTTTTGGATGACTACCCTTTAATTTCTCTTGGGCTGCAATAACCCTTCAAATGGAAATTCATTCTCTCTCTCTCTCTCTCTCTCTCCCTCTCTCTCTCTCTCTCTCTCTCTTTATCCTCCCTGAATAGTTCCTCCTGTGTGTGTATGTGTGTGTGTGTGTCTGTGTGTGCATGTGCCAAGGTTGTGTTCAGCAGCCTAGCTACGTTACTAGCTTCTCTTTGTATTTTGTTTGTTGTTTGGAAAAAGCCAAGGTAACACTCATCCCAAGTTTCTATGGAAACAGCCATCCTTGAACTGTACTTTATGGATCTGCATCATGTGCTGTATCACCTTGGTCCCAGTTCATATAGAATGTTCTTTTCTGTTCCCATCTTTTTTTAAGTGGTGACACATGCAGCTAACATCACTTAGCTCAGATTCCTCTCCTGCAGTTTGATTTCTTACATTGGAGCAATTTTAATTCACTTTAAATATATTTATATAAATGAAGTCCTTCCATATCTTTCTGTGTTGTTACTTGTCTTCCTCACCAGTGGGTCTCCCTCGGTATCACTCTGGGACACCTGCTTGGACGAGGCTCCCTCCTTGGACGAGCTGTAGCCGTCGTAGCCCACGTCCTCCGGCCTCAGTTGGAGCAGCGACTGGCCATCCTGCTGCAGCGAGGCGGCGTTCCATGGATACGTGTCGTTCACCCACTTGGAAGGATCCTCCCACGCCGCTCTTTTGCCGTACAGCTGCAGGTGTGTCACAGAGGGAGAGGGGGTGTGACCGATACGGGAGAACGGACACGAGTAAAGAATTTCTCCGCTTGCAATCACCAGCACGCGGACAAATTGAGGAGTCCTAGCTCACCTGCTGTTGTTGTTCATATTCAGTCTACTTTATGTGCCTCTTGTAATGTGCAGTGACATAAAATCAGAGAGTGTGGTGAAAATCATTATCTTCTCAGTTTCATTATCATTTAAAACAGCTATGCCAGTCACAGTGGTGCATGGAGAAAACGGCCGAACGCTTTAGTAGAAGTACAGAAGTATTGGCAACTAAATGAGTAAAAGTACTTGTTATGTAGAATGACATTTCATGGTTCCAAATTCTCAAACATGAAGATTTGCTGATTTTCCTTAATTAATCAATTAATTATATTTTGTGACAAATAAAACATTGTGAAGGTATCACTGTGGGTTGTGGCTAATTGTGAAGGCCTTTCCCACTATTTTCAGAGTTACAAACCAAACTAATCCACTAATGACGAAAATAATTAGCCAATCAATCCATAATGAAAATGATCATTAGTTAATTGTTTTAGCTGTAGTGAGCATAACCTCCACCAACAACAACAGTCCTGCCTTTACTGTTCACATCAGTAACAATAATCTAATCACAGCGGACATTACTTTGCTTTGAAGACATTTTCTGGACTATACTTACATACTTTTACCGAAATAACATTTTGAATACAAAACTTTTGATCTTAACTGAGTATTTTTCTGTAGCAATGCATCATAATTTAGTGTTGCCAGGACGTACCTGCAGCCCTTCCCTGACAGCCTCCAGCAGGTAGGGCACCAAAGAGTAGTTCCACAGGTCGGTGAACCAAACCCGGGAGCCTTCTACGTCCATGGGACAGGACAGGAAGAGACGGGGGCCTGCCGGGGACAAAAGACCCCAGGGGATGAGTGTTCGTTGAATGGAAGGCGGAAAAGACAAAAGACACACGGAGCAGACTCTAAACACAAACACGCTGATGAAGAGTGGAGGCACAAGCTAACACTCACTCACTGGCTTCGGTATCCTAACAGTACAGGTGGCCAGAGAGAGAGAGAGAGAGAGAGAGAGAGAGAGTGTGTGAGACTGACCTATGGTGACATCGGAGGAGCTGTGTGCCTCCAGGAAGCCGTTGAGGTGCTGCCAGGTCTTGGGGATCCAGTCGATGATCTTAATCAGGTCATTGCTGCGCATGCTCTTATCGATCTCCGTCTCTATCAGCTTCCGCCGCAGGAAACGGCCCAGGAAGCCTTTGACCGGCTCGGTGTGGTTGGTGCACAGCACCCACCTGCGACAGGACAGATGATCGATGGTGAAACAGAAGCGGAGGAGCTGATAAATCAAGCTCAAGAGTAACCCACATCTCTCATCGAAGCAGCTCAGAGGTTTCAGCTCATTCCACTGTACCATAATATAATCGTATTAAATGTTTGGCCCATGACGGGCTTTCCCTCATGACTTTATATTTGCCAAATCATCAGCTAGTCAAACATGCTGAGCAGAAATGATTCTCACTCAGAACCTGCATAATGTTCCAATCATTTTCATCTAACGAGGGTAATTATCTGAGCGATGTAATTACAGCGCTCCCCGTGGAAGAATGCCTTTAGTTTACGATCTGTGAGAAATAACATGTTGACGGAGGGGTGAAATCAAACACATTATCCGACAGGTGAGATGACGCAAAGCCAATAAAACCACAAGCCGATAACATCCGTGTCACAATATGATGAGTAACTTCACCGACGCCGTCACGTTTTCAGTGACAGCGTTAGAGTTCAGTAGGAGTCGAGCTTGTGGTTAACGTGCATGCCACAAACCTGAAGTTGTGGTGTAGCTCAAGGTTAGGAGAAGAGGAAACCCCCTGGTTCATGGTCCCGATAACATAAGGGCTGGGTGGAGACACAGACAACAACAACACATTATTAACAGTCACAACCAAGATGCGTCACAAAATGCTAAATTATGTTGCTGTTAGACCAGTCATTTCTAAAAATGTGTTATTTCTGCCATTATAGTTCTTTTAGGTAATATTCTATTGTTTAAATAAAATACATTGCATATCTGACTCACCATTTGTGGTACTTGCAGTTGAGGAAGCCGTTGAATATGTCACTGAGGGAGCCAATATGGTGGAGGTTGTCCAGGATGACCACAGTGGGGAGCTCTGTGTCCGTCTCCTCGGAGTTACACTGCTCCGCCAGGTTGGACAGATACTGACGCAGGTCCTGGGCAACAAAGCATTACCAGACAGGTTTCATTTGGACACGAGATTTCGAACGCAAAAAGGATCTGAGTCCCTTTTTCCCCATTTATGTTAAACTCCAGTTATTTATACGAAAGCCAACCCCTACCGCTTACAACTCTGTATGCTCACTCGTGTCCGGGGTTTTCTCCCGCTGGACAAACCTTCACTACAGATAAAATGTCTGCTACAAGTGATGCTCGTCACATTCTGGAGCCCATTATCTAAATGCCAGTATATTTTTCTGCTGCTGAAGGATGACGAAAAACATCAGAGGAAAATGTCAGGTTGTGGAGTCAGTCCATCAGAGTCACAGCGTAAAGGCCATTTTCTAGAGATTCGGTTTGGTACCAGCCTTTAGTGCGCAAGTATGATCAAACGGGGAGAAAAGTCATGGTAGAAGAGGCAGAGAGACCAATTTGCGCACCAGAATGAAAATCAAATGCATCCAGGCATGCATATTGCAGATCTATTGAAAGGATAGTTTTTTAAAAGTGGGGTTGTACAATGTACTTCTCCATAGTCAGTGTATTACCTACTGTAGATGGAGTATCGGCACGGGAGCAGCAGCACAATGTATTTTAGCCACCTAAGGAAATCGGTTTAAGTATATACTCTATATTTACAATATTGTCACCGCTTCGTTGTTGGTCTAATGCTGCCTTGATTGGTTACTTTATATGTTATTGTGTGACTTTGGTGTTTTAAGGGGTTAGTTCGGATTCACCAAAGCCACACAATAACACAACAAACAAACTGATCAAGGCAGCGGTAGACGAGCAAATTCTGTCTTCTGAGAGGTAAAATTACTGTTTTTTTGTCCATAGCTAACGACTTCAGTTTCCCCCTTTAGAAATGGCTGTCTGACAGCAAAATAAAGCACTGAAAAATATTCTAAATATAGCCTACACTTCAATTGTATTGATTTCTTTAGGTGTTTGGCCCCGTCCACAGCAGTACATTGCTTTGCTCCCATGCTGGTACTCCTGTCTGTTTCTCTATACATCTACTGTAGGTAATACGCTAACTATGGATAAGTACCTCATACAACCACACTTCAAAAAATCCCTGTAATATGTGCATGTTTTGCCTTCCCATGTCTGGTAGGCTGGTGGTCACTTTTCACAATTTAAGAAAAGAATATTGATATCGCCTTTTACATGCACATATCATGATAATCTTCTCTTGGTGTAGCAAGGCATTCTGGGAGATGTGGGGAGTTACTAAACTGAAACGTAAGTAATGTAGATGAGGTAGACTGGGTGGGAGGGAAGACTAAAGACTTTAGATTCGGATCCAAAGAAAAATCGCTACCTTGCTTGAATTCTGGTCCACGTTGAAGCTGGCCACGTTGTGCTCGGTCACCGGCTGCCCCATCTGGGAGATGATGTACTCGGCCAGCTTGGCGGCCATGAAGGATTTGCCGGTGCCGCTGGGTCCTGAGAGGATGATGCGACGATGCTCCATCAGCAGGTTGAGGTACCGCTGGATGATGGGCTTCGGGATCAGCGTGTCAAACACCAGGCTGTCTATACTGTTCTCCCTCACACCTAGGAAGAGGATGGGAGGTAGGAAGGAAGGAAGGAGGGAATAGGATGGAAAGAAAGAAGAAAAGAAAATTGAAACAAATGCAGTTGCATTTTTTTTTTCATTAAATGCGGTTCAAGTTAATATTTCTTTCTCTACTCCAGAACACTTTCCTTGCCAATTCAAAGCTGGCTTCAACATCAGCTGTGATGCTGAAATAGAAACTCCTTGTTTCCTCGCTGCCGTACCTTTGAGGTTGACCTTGATGACGTTGTTGTCGCCCACCAGGTAGCCGCAGGGCAGCAGCTCAGGCACTTCGGAGGTGTGGGAGCGAACAACCTCGCCTATCCTGTAGGAGACGATGCTGTCTGAGCTGAGACCCAGGCTGGTCAGAGGGTCCACCCGAAACACATACTCCTGCAGGGAGGGAGGGGTTAGAGGAACAGCGGGAAATAAAGAACTGCACTATTGATTATGCTTAAATATTGGCTGTTGTTGACCAACTCATCTTCTAACTGACAGTGGAGCTTGTTGTGTGTGCCTGTGAATCTATAATAACAGCAACACAGACAGTGTGCAGGATTGTCTCTTCTTTTTTTAATTGAGCTGCACCTGCCACACACATTGAGGTGTGGAGAGATTTTGAACATGTTTTTTTGTAGGTTTATAATTAAATTCAGAAGAGGAAAAAGTATGCCTTCATCCATGGGTAGGATGGAGCAAACAAAATACAATTCCATGCAACCAAAGTGGATTAAAAGGGCTTTAATAAATATGGACCACTGTCTCGGGCAGATAGCATTTGTAATAACAGCACATGCATCACTCTCTTTTTCCAATTAGTTTCATTTCAAAAAGCAGTTGTATCTTCAATTAAATTAAATTAATTCATTAAATCCTCTTATTAGAATAGGCACATGACAAAGAGGGATCCAACTACCATGAAATATTTGGATAAACATTTCTTCGTGACATTTTGACAAACTACATGGAACAGAACCATCATTAATGTAACTGGTCATGTGTGTGCATATCCTGCCAAGACAAGTCAAAGTGTGTGTTGTGTGCCTAAATAACTGACCTGAACCTCTGAGCAATGGGCGCGTTTACCTTGAAGAGGCGTCGGATGACCCCATCCAGGACGTCCCACTTGGTTTTCCCACTCACACCTATAGACCCAATCAGGTACGCCTGGCCTACCTTTCCCTGGAGAGTTGGCAGATGAATCAAAGCAACAGGAGTCAGAACCAATAAGACCAATACAGTGGTTTAAGCTGGAGGAAAAAGGGGAAAGAACGTCCACTCTTCGTCCACTAACCTTGGTGGTATATGGCCCACGGCTGATGGTGACCACTATTCGCACACTCCGGCCGTCTTTGCGCAGATTGCCCTCGTAGCCGTCATCCAGCAGAATATCTGAAAAACAGGACTTTTCTGTTAGGAAACACAATCAACTTGATTCATTACAAACAAACTCTCACTCTGCCCGCTGGCAAATTAGAGCTGGAAATGGACAAACAGACTCCAAAGTAAAAAAAAAAGATATTAGATAATGGGTTTCTTTGGTGAGATAATTACTTTTACATTCAATCAATGTTTCCATACAGAACTTTTTCTAGTGAGTGCACAGAATGATAATTTAAGAACGACTACGTGTTTTGAAATGAAATGGAGTACAATCTAAGGGAGAGAACAAATAAGATAGGACGGGAAATCATTCAAAAGGAAGAGGTTTGGATGAGGTATTTGTTGAGAGTTGAACGTTAAGTCAGTGAGAGGATGGGGACTGTGACATCATTGGGACAAAATCATTAAGTAATAAGAAATGACAGCTGTTCGAAGACATAAATGACTTATGATTTATCAACCTGACAATGTGTGTAGAGAAGTAGAAGCCACTAACGTCAGTTTACAGCAACAATCAGACACCCAGCACCTTTCAGATTCTCCACCGACAGCAACGGAGCTGAAGGCAAACTGATAACAGTTTCCTCAGTTCACGAATTTCAAAAATATCTGGAGGCTTAGCTTGTTGAGTTTTAGATTCAAACTTATTCTAACCTTTGTGACGGATCAAACACCATAAACATTTTCATATTTGATCGTCATTTTTCATCTCATGCTTAATGGAACCGGCAACAGCAGATTATTTTCCTAACACGACACATCATCACCTTTTAAGTTGACAGACTTGTTAGCACGGCTAACGGCTGCCTATTTACACATCCAATGGACAAGGAGCCACATTTTAATTGATGGCGAGTCTGTTTTGGACCACCTTGGAGAATTTACGTAAATATTCACTCTCCTTGAGCTCTATTTTTGGTCTCCACCAACACCTGGGAAAAATATGTGGCTATTTTAGCTGCTAAATGCTCCTCTGTGTTCACTAGCTAGCTAATAACATTGTCTATCTGTCGTGTAAAGTTAGAACCTTTTCTCTGAAAAACATTTGGCTGCGTCTGCCATGAACAGTGCGATGACACTCACCCGAAACAGTGAAGTTACGGGTCATAAAAGCCACAACAATGAGCTGGTTGCTCTCTAAGGGTTTGTCACAATGATCAACAGCTTTAACATACAAGTAGTCATGTGATCCAGTGTTAATCAAAAACAAATATTATAGCAGCTTTAACTAGAGAGCACAATAACAAACAATCCAAAACTGTAGAAATTTGTATTTTACTTTGTGCAAGTTTGACTTATTTGTTAGTTTCCCGCCACCTCTAACCTTTGACAACGACCACGCGCTAACAACTCCAAGTCTCTCTCTTCATTCTCTTTTTTCCCGGAGTCCATTTTTTGGACAGGGTACTTTGTATTCAGCTGGCCTCCCTTAGCTGAGGGCTCTGTGCTGGACTGATAAGCCCGTTGGCCCACTCGTCTTCCAACGCGTCACTGCTCTCGGCTCACCCCCCCCCCCCCCCCATCAATTAATGAAGGCCCGAGTCCTCGGAGAGAGCTGCGCCTTCTATGTTAATTACTGGACAAGTGAGACAGGGACAGAACTCTTTCACTTCTCCAATGGATCGGGCCTGGAGACATTTTCAGCATGTTCTTGTGTGTGTGTGTGTGTGTGTGTGTGTGTGTGTGTGTGTGTGTGTGTGTGTGTGTGTGCGTTACAGGCTCCTGCTGCGTTAACCAGCCCTCGCAGTAGAGAGAGCAGCTATTTCGTCATTTCACGCGGGGCTCCTCCGGATCATTTCTCTCCGCAAACACAGTTCTCTCACATTTATCGAGGCGAGTGTGGAGGGAGCTAATCCAGCTTGATTCCCTAAGAGTTGCTGCAGACCATAGAGTGTGTCCTACGGCTTAACTAGACAAAAGAACATGGCGCTGACATGACTGAGGTTTAATTCTTTATAGCTCAATGCACCTGCCGACAGTTTTGAAATGTAAAAAAAAAGGACTATCGAAGTCTATTTCGCTTACTACCACCACCCTCACACTTCTCACTTCTGAGGAACAACTGCAGGCTGCTAGCGCTGATGTACAAAAACACTTCAGATGGACAACGCTGGGCGGCTGACACTGAACCGACCTGACATGATGGTGTCAGTGATGTTGAGGTTGTTGAGCGACAGCCCCAGGGACTGACGGGAGGAGGACGAGGACGTGCTGGAGGTCTCGGAGGGCGGCCGGGTCGTCTTGACGGGCGTGGCCGTCGGTGTGGCGTTGCCGCTGGTCTTGAGGCGATCGTTCTCCGCTTTCAGCGCCTCGATCTCGTTCTGTTTGTCGACAAACAAATGAAAATGAGACAAAAACCTGACAGAAGTTGCATTCAAAGACTCATATTCCTGCATTCAGGCTGGCCACTGTTGTTATATCGAATCTGTATTATTGGCGTTTGATCTTCAAGGCTCTCTTTGTGCTGAAGGGTAAGTCTCAGATAAGGCGCCTTACATGATCCCCAGATCTGAGAGGAGACTATGGGCTTCTACAGACGAGGCAATCCACATCCACAAAGAGCCACTTAACACTGGAGACCATATATGGTGATATCCTTTGAACATGTGCTCCTTTTAAGAATATGAAGTGACACAGCACCTCTGAACAGTATGCTTTGAACTGATGGGTGGCGTTTCATTGCAACACTTCAATGGGAATGATATCAACTAATCAAATATGTGTATTTGCGGGGGGGGGGGAGCTGAATTTTATTCAGCTTCATGGGGAAATGAAACCATCCATTCCGCCTCTCTGAGGCATGTTTACCATGACAGCTCATGTAAATGACACGTCATTTATTAATTGCTAGTTCTGGAGGTGATGCAGCATGCCGGCTCACTGTGATGGCTGGAAAGCCACAGTATCCAATCTTCCCCTAGTTTTTTATTTCCTTGTATTGCTCTTCTAAAAATGTTCTGACTTTCAGACTTGAGGAATAGTTCCGTGGGGAATGAAGCAATATCATGAACTACAATTTAATGGCGAACCTGCATGAGTGTTAGGTGTATAGGTATAGGATAGTAGGAGAGGCTTTGTGTTTGTAAGACCAGATATTTTGCCTTCAGCCCTCCTGGTGCCCCTCTGGAGCCCCCTCAGCCATCCACTAACCCACTGAATGCAGTGGTAACTGTTCTAACTGGTAGCAGCTGTCATGCTCCAGTGCCTTTAGGGAGGAACACACCGCTTTAGCACAAATAAATTGGACGGACAGAGCGAAAAAAAGAAACTGTAGAACAACTAAAAGTGCTTCTTTCTCCATGAGATGCCTCTATCTGCGTTTGGCAAACAGAACTAAAGCCTATTTGATACCTAGAGTTGAGTCCTTCAGCCACAGGTCACCCAGTACTCAGGTTACCCAGATCTCACCTGCATGCGGTTCATGGCCTCTCGGATCTGGTCCAGGTGGTGGGCGGAGCTGAGTGCCTCCAGGCGGATGTCCGTCAGTTTGAGCTCCTTCTCCCTCAGCTCGTTCTTCAGCAGGAGGATGGTTTCTGCCTCGGCTTCGGTGCATTCGCAGAGCCTGCGACCGGGGTTTACACACAGGGAGGTGGAAGTGGGGTGTCGGTTACCTCGAGGGTTATACCAAACACACAAACACACATAATCTAGAGATGCACACTTTAAAGGAAAGTTCAGAGGGAAGCTGGAGTCAGTGGCGGAGATGTGGGACATCTGGGAAGGAGTGTGACCCCCGCCCCCATTTATAATACTTCCCATTTACTTACAATGCGTTACCAGCACATTGAGCAACATGTTGCAGTTATACTGAAGAGGTGGTAGTTGTCCCATCATCATGATTCAGTTTTTTTCACAAACACCAGGCAGAGATCTGATATGGAGTTAGATGCAATGCTATTTTGCTCAAAGTCAAAAACACAGAAAGAATAAGTCACATTTGGGTCGTTCACTGCATGAAAATTCTATAACTGACGCCAGCACATGCTTTGGCCTACGTCAAACTCCTTAAAAAGGAAGTCATCTCACCAGCTGTCACAGGTGCACAGTACCTGCATGCTGGTTGCCGGTCGGCAAAATGGCCTTTTGTACTAACAGGATAGAACCAATTTGCTCATGTGCGAGCTCATCCATCTCACCCTTTATTCAGCCTACTGCTACTTCTCCTGAGCCGGAGACCTCCAACATGCCAAGGTGCTCACGGCACCGAGATGCAGAGGAAAAGTCACACCAACACAACCCCACGGCACACACACACACACACTCCCTGGGAGCACGCTGCGCAGCGCCTATTACCGGGATCGGTGCTTGTAGACCACGTGACCGTTTTGCCTTTTCTTTGGCGTCCAAATGGGGGAGTACTTACTATCGCAAAAGCACTTGCTACAGCGGGAGGGGCGTTCAAGAAAAGGATGAACAGAGAGGTCAGAAAAGAAAAAACGTGGTGAGGATTAACAGACATTTGTGAGAAGAAAAAAAAACAAGAAAATAACTGAAAAGATTTTAGTCGATTTGTATGCAAGGAAGCGTGTCCGAGTGGAGAGAGCTACCTGTGTGTATACGTTATGTGTGTGTGTAACAGCGGATGCATGCGCATACGCAAAACTCACTCGGTGGTGGAGGGCGAAGAATGCAGCGTGGCGATGCTGCCCTGCCTGTTGTCGTGCTGCAGTTTGGGCGAGGACGGCAGCGAGTCGATCATCTCCTCCATCTCGTCATGCGCCGACTGGGATTTGGATTTCTTCTTGCTGAACGCCTGTTTGAAGGAGCTGCGCAACTGCAAGACAGAAAACACAAACATGCCGGAGTCAGTTCCCTGAGAGAACAGGGGGCTGGTGACATCACACCTTGCCAGATCAGGAAGTCACTCTGTGTTGTTTCCCAAGCAGTGGGCACTGCCTGGTTTAGGTAAAGAGAAGGGGGCAAAAAGCAAGACCGTAAGTAGAGATGGAATGAGAGATGGGGGGGACCAGGCTTTGAACAGGCAATCCAAATGAACAAGGGAGCAGGAAAACGAGGAGGGAGGAATAAGGTGGGGTTGCCGTATCCATGCCGACTGTTCCGGAGAAGGGAAAGAAGAGGTTGCTCTGAGGGGGGAAGGAGGAACACACAAGGGGGGCGAGGATAGGATGGAGAATAGCCACAGCACACACACACACAGAGGACACTCTGGGAGCCACTGACCTGAGCCGGGATGGAATCGGCCACCTGAAGATGCAGAACACACCCAAAGTTAAGCCTCGCAAACACACACACTTACCTCACCCTCCCACAAACAAATCCCCCTCTGCTTGATTAAAGATAAACGCCATTAGTGCATCTGATTTACAGAGCACTTTGTCCTCAGCAAATACAGTTCATGCTGTTGCGAGGGGGATGATAATGAAGTCGATGTCTATTATGATTGCGTAGCGTTCATCTTCCCGTTATCTGATTGGCAGCCATGTTTGTCCCTAGGCTGGTCAAGCACGTAGTACAAGATGTTGCATGAAATCCACGGGACCCTAATCATGCTAAACAGAACACACCAACACAGTACATCCATTCGATTTAACGGCCCAGTGCATTCTGGGAAAGGCTCCAGCCTCCCTGTTACCCTTGCAGGATGAGCAACTATAGAAAAAGAGGAATGGATTGGATGGATTTCGACACATTTCCACACACTTAGCCAGTCATGTTAGTGAGCCAGTGGACAGCCCTGATGCTTAAAGAATGTCCTATGTGGGGACGGTGTTTGCCACCTTCCACAGGGAGGCTCCTGTCCTGCTTGAAGCTACTTCAGCAGGTCAGCAGCTTGCTTGCTGGCACAAAGCCGCTGCCCTAATGAAAGGCACCCTACCAATTTATTATGACAACCTTTTTTTTTTTTTACCTTTCTGTTAGCATGATCTGCTGCTTTTGTGCAAGTTCAGTGTGTGCACCGAGGCAGGGTTTATGCAATTGAATAATGAATTGCTGCTTAAGTAAGGGATTGATTTGTATTCATGAGCATGACTTTTTCTTGGGGGGGGGGGGGGTCCTCACTCAACGTAGCAGATTTGGGTGTCACTCTCAGCGGTGAACTTTTGGGCTGTAAGCGTGCATTTCATTTCAAGGGCAGGCGTTTTGCATTGCAGCAGAGAGTGAACACTGGCTCTGCGCTCTTTGGCTGAGATGGAACTTCTCATATGTCATCCGTCTGACTCAGGGGGCTGCAGCAAATAACAGCTCTCCAGCCAGGGACACTGAGCCGCTATTGTACAGTGAAGCACAGAAGAGAAAAATCTGAAAGAGCGGGAGAGAGAGAGAGAGGGGGAGAGGAGAGAGAGAGGGAGAGGAGAGAGCTTTATGGGCTTTTTCTGATAACTCTGCTTTTTTTTTTTTTCTTGATCTGTGGGTATTTGTGGACATAGTCCTCAGTAGAAAGGACACGCCCCATGGGAGGTGAAAGTACAACTTGGACACTTAAGCAAACTGAGCCATCAAAGGAACAAAGTTTCTGTCTTCCCAAAAAGAGACAGAAGTTAAAGAGAACTTTGTGGAAGACTTTTGAGTCTTTCCAGACCATCAAACCTGACCACGTCCCGTTGAGTACCTGGGGGATTAAGAGCCCTTCTCAAAAGTACTGTGAGAAGTGAGAGTGTTTCTCAGTTCCACCCACTTGACTCAGATATTCAACCAGCACTTCTCTAACCTCTGGCAGCCATCGGCGTGGTGTAAAGCTGAACTTCAGTAACCATGACACTAGCAGCCACTCCGCTTCTTTACCAACCTAATTTGCATGCTGCTGTCACTGTCTGTGAAATCCAAAGTGCACCTTGAACAATAATTGCGCGGCGGTTTGACTCTGCTCGACCCCTTCTGTTGGCCCTCGCCGCCGGATGCTACCTCAGCCACTCAGCTGACACCATCTCGGCACTGTAACCAAGCAACGGGGATATGATAGTAGGGTGCCGTTAAGCACGGGTTTTAGGGTATTATTTCAGGTCACCAATGAGAATCTGCCTCCGAAATCGGAGAAGTTTCCAAGCACGAGAAGGTAAGTGGTGATTTGACCACAAGCAGCGACTGGTTTGAAATTGGAAGACCAATTATTGGTTTCACAAGGGATGAAGGGAGGAAGAGGAAAATCACAGCAATAAAGAATTGTATTGCCTTTTGGGATGGAAATGATCAAACTACTTTTGATTTGGAGCTTTGATTTAATGAGTCACATCCAAACCCAGTCAACCGGAGGTCATGGTTAGGTCGAGCTACTGTATATGCAGGTACACCCAGAATATTAGCTGATTTTGAAGCTCCTTCAGTGGGCGCAACGGTAGAATAAGCTTTATTCCGCAAAACTGCCTTCATCTATGTAAGGAAGACATTTAATCTTTCAATGCGGGCTTTATGAGTATATGTGAAATAGATCAACTTCCACTGAATAATTCATATGTGTCTTTCACTATTTAAACCACACCCTAAACAATGACTAGGAAACTGAATGTAAAATATACATCATTTTGTGCAGAAGAGCAGTTGAGCGGATCATGTCTGAAATTTCCTCCTTTTTTTCGTTTTTTTTTTAGACAATTTCTGCGCTCAACCTTTCTTTGCTGCTTCCGTCTCACAATGACGACAGTTTCTACACCTACCCAGCTCTTCTTCTTCTTCTTTTTGTCCTCGGCGTCCTTGCCCAGACTGCCCATGCTGGAGTGACTGGCTGCGCTGTTGATGCTGGACATGCTCTCCGACGAGTGCTGCCGCCTAATCCGCAGGTCTGCAAGTGACGGACAAAATCTTACTTAGTGCTCCGAAAAGACGGGTCACAATGCAATGCTGATCCATGTACCAAAACGTTCTTCAAGCTTCACTTTAAACTTATAATCCATTACATTTGAGTCCCGGTTGATACTGATGGTTACTGGTGGTATCAGATATTTAAGTTAAATACTACAGCCAACACTTGTCGAATGGCTACTTTGTCAGAAATGTAGCTCAGCCTAACAAACTAACGTTATTTTGATAAAGAAGTCAGAAGTTAAAAGATCAGATTCCACGTGATTGTGCTGTTCACACTGTTATAAAAAACAGGGATATCATTGAGATAAAATGAACCTGGTTACATGCATGGATTGCTTCCTGTGAATCCCTCGAGCATGTAAAGGCAATTTGTAGCCATTGAATTGCTTTTACTGCAAAATATGGACCATAAATTGTATCAAAATCAGAGTTTTTAAATTATAACTTTATCAGTCAGCTATGTTGGGCTCAGCTTGTCTCCAATAATCAGCTGTGAGGAGTTTTGATACTTGAAATGAAAATTGATCACACAACTGACTCGGGTTGTTTCTAGGACTAAACAACTGACCCATACAGCACAAAACACTTCATTTATTAGGGGCTGGATTCCCCCTGTGGCCAATCAGGCTTACAAAAAATGCATCGACTCATGGAACACTAATGCAGCTGTCATCATGATCGCGCATGCTGGTTCCCTCATTACCTTTGTGCAGGTGGTCAGGGCCGTTGAGCGCCACCTGGATGGCGGTCTGTGCGTCGGTGTTCTGGGTCTTTAGCGAATCTATTGTTTCCCTCAACTCCACCAACTCGGACTCCTGGAGAGAGACACGGTTGTTAAAACGAAGGGTGACGCACCGAAAAGCAGTTCCTCGTTCGGCCAAATGTGTGGAGCTTCGTCACTGGAAACAAATTCCTAAATTTGGCATTGGCGTGGCTTTTAGTGGAAGGGAATGAGAGGCAAAAAAAAAGTCTCCCTGCGGATTTGTCCCAACCCCGCACCACCTGCTTAGAATTAAAAAAAAGAAAAAAGCTCCACTCTGTTGAACCAACACGATCAGATAGAAGGAGTCTCCTATTCTGCCATTCCCGAAAAAAACCCCCCACTGAGGGCTGAAGATAGGGTTTCCACTTTAATTAAAAGTTGGGACGGCCTTGTTTAACAAAGACATCCCACCAGATCCCAGTCTGCTTTAATTTATAGAGGATTAAAAAAAGCTGCCAGGGCTCGTCAGCATTCTGTGTGTGTAATATGTGTGTGTGTGTGTGTGTGTGTGTGTGTGAGAACAGAGGGAAGTATTCATAATGTGTGGTAGGGATATATCTTTGAGCATATTGCTGCTGCTGTGTGATCAGTGTTTCGTTGCAATTCAAGCTCTTTTGAAACCTCCCGTCGGTCAAAAAAGTCGACTTGTATGAAGATGGAGAGAAATAGAGCCAGGAGCAGATGAATGCTGGAGGTTTTTCTGGAGAATACACTGGTTTTAAATGGGTTTGTGGGCCTTAGGGTCAGGGAATATGCTGAACCCTTGCATGTTGGGCCAAAATCGGGCACTTTCACCTTCAAGTGAAGCAAACATTTTTTACTTCAGACAAGCGAGTCAATCACCTTGGTTAAGGTTAGAAGTAAAGTTAGAGAGAAATTCAGGCAACAACGAAAACGTTTTGACGAAAACTCCAAAAGAAACCTTTCAAGTGCTCCGGGAACTGAACCTGAAGATAAAACATATCCATTAATGCGCAACCGCCGACCTCTACACTCTGTAGTTTCACTGAATCATTTCAATGTTAAACCGGAGCCGGTTTCTAATCATTTTTCCTCTCTGTAATCCCTTCGCCATCCATTCACACACAGCATATTTCAAACTCAGGACTGAGCTCTTGTACCTTTTGTTCGGCCGTCATGGTGAGGCTCTGCAGGCGGCCGGTCATGTTACTCAGGCTCTTCTCGAAGGCTGCCACCAGGTGAGCCTGCAGACACACAGAGAGACACATATTACAGGCTGGAGTGCAGGATAACATTTGGTTTACCACAGGCAAACTCTAAGAACTATGTTCAAACTGTTTCATTCTCTTTCGAATATGAAAACTAAAGAACTCAAAACCGATGAATTGGGACTCCTGTCAAAATTCAAAATAAGCTCAGTCAAAATGTACGCAACGCTAAACATAACTTATCACTTGTCTATGCATAAATCAATATTCATGAATGTTTTGAAAAACATTGACGAAAAAGCCCATGCAGAGAATGAATAAGTTGGTCTGCTGGCTGGCGACGATAGCTTTCAAGTGAGTTTTTTTGCTCGAGCCAAACAAGACGTGGCGTGGAAGGTTTGCCCTTCTGAAGAGTTCCCCTGTACCCTGTGAAGGACTGCTGCTGGGATATCTAGCTTTAAAATACGAACAATCAGCAAAACCACGTTGAGTCACTCTCAAATTTCAAGGGCAAGTTCACACGATGCATACTGAGAACGATTTATTTGAACGGGGAGCTTGTTAGGAGCGTTTCATTTAACTTTGCAGAATGTTGTGAATTAACCATTATGGATGTCATCATGCTCCGAAATCCTCTTTCTGGAATAATAACACCAAGAAAATAGTGAAAGAAAAGATGGATCCCACAGAGGCACACAGATCGATGACCCCCCTCCCCCCGACTTCATCTGTCACCCGGAGATGCAGAGGCGACGCGCTTAGGGACGGCAAATGTATCATCGGCGTCACGCCATCTGCTCCGCTGAACCTGTGGGTTGTGTATGCGTGTGTCTGGATATGTAACTGGATTTGCTTGAGCATGTGTGAGGTTTTTTTTTCTATACATGTTTGCGTCTGAATGTCTGGTGAAGCCTTATGTTCACGGTTGTGCAAATGTGAGTTTGCAAAATCGGTGCTTGTTCTGCCAGCTCATCCTCCCATCCTTAGCTAGAGACCTTGAGACACCTGTCAAGCCTGGTGTGTCACATGGAGGTGGGCAGCATGCCCAGGCACATCAGACAATCTCTGCTTAACACACACACACACACACACACACACACACACACACACACACACACACACACACACA